CTCCTTCTCTACAAGATCAGCTATGCCACAGGAATAGTTGGCTACAGTGTCGTCATGTTTACACTTTTTGGTATAAACCTAATATTCAGGTATGAATTGTCACATCAGTGGTACAAAATTACCCTTTACCATAGCCAACACATTTAGTGCATATTGACTTTCACCATTCAAAAGATAATCCTTCAAACTGTAGGCTGCTTTTGACCAGACTAGTCATATTTTCCAGCTTGCCATTTCAGGAATATATATCCCAAATGTCTAAAGTTCATTGAAAAAGGAGAGTTTCTTCCTGGTCTCTGTCCCACATGTAGCGTCACTAAATGATGATGTTTTGCCTTTTTTTCCCCCACCCCCTTTGATCACCACTATTCTCACCATTCACCTGAGTCACTAATTGATTGTCTTTTTTAAATTTTATTTGTAAAATTTTTTTATAATCTGGCTCAATGGTTGTTTGCTTGTCGCTGTTATGCATTGAAGCACTCCAGAATCTAGCAGGATTATAGAGCTCAACCTACTGACTTCATCAGAAAAATGAGCAAACGCTCTTTTACTTCGTGGTGTTGACATAATCCTTAGTTGACCTCAGGTGTACGTGTTTAAAAGTAAACTGGTCGTATGACAAGTAAAGTAAACACCCTGTGATAAGTTAAAAAAAAACCATTGTCACTGTAAGATATTATCATTTGCAGTGAATTACAGCAACTTCCTTTTCAGAGGGATCACTACAAAGAAAACTTTTATTCAGACCTATGATTCAGATACTTGAACAAACAACACAGATGAAGCACTTCAGACACGAAGTCTACAGAAAGAAGTGGAAGTTGCTTATTCCAGCTGAAAACAACTAGTAAAAAAAAACGTAGATGGAAACAAACATTTGGCATCTTTGGGTGACATACATCCTGATTCCAATGTACTGTATTTGTGAAAAGTCTGAATGAACAAAGTGGTGCTGTTTACAGGTCATGTAGCTACTGAGCCGTCAGTTAATTTATTGATAAGGAACTTTTAACAAGCTTGGTAATGATTACATTAGCTTAGCAAGGCCGCACCTTTGAATTGGTTAGCACTGTAGCACCTTTCCCGACTTCAGTTCAGTTCTATATTGGCAGTTTTCAAAGTAAATATATTAATGTTACATATGTGTGATTTTTTTCATAGTGCTAAATTCAAAACAGGGTCATTTGTGATCATTATAATCTTCCTAGCTGATGTTACAGTGTACAGGGGGATATAGATATAATATATATAATTTTAGCTTGCCATCGACATGCTAGAATTTTAAAAGACATTCATGTTGTCTTCTAAAAACTGTAAACTTTGCTGTTGACTGAAAATATAAAACCGACAATCTGTTTTATGCATTAAATACAAGCTGATGTTGAACACCACCTGAGCCGTGATTCCCATACAGTGCCTTATCTGTCCAGGATAAAGCCAGAGGATGCAATGGACTTTGGTGTTTCACTGCTATTCTACGGGCTGTACTATGGGGTCCTAGGAAGGGACTTTGCAGAGATGTGTGCGGACTTCATGGCTTCAACCGTTGGGGTAAGTAGACTGTGTGCAGACACACCTTTAGAGGTAAATGTATGCTAAAATGTAATTTTGACAGTTTTCTCTCTCTTTTTTTTCCAGTTTTACAGTGCATCTGGCATGCCAACCAAACACCTCTCTGATAATATCTGTGCAGTGTGTGGTCAGCCCATCCTCGTCGATGTCAGTGAGGAGGGAATTATTGAAAACACGTACAGATTGTCCTGCAACCATGTGTATCCTCCTTGTGCAATTTTGTTGATGCTGGTCATGCTGTTATCTCATTTATCAGTGAAAGAGAAGTTCAGCTGCATAATGGAGTACTTCATTTCTATAAAATGTATGATCACGGGTTTGTGTTGGAACTGTATCATGTATTAACCCACCAGGCCAATGGGAAATTGGGTTAACTTGACCTTTATATCAGACTGTTGATGGTACGATAGTCTGTGTATCTGAACACACTTTACTTCCCCCATGATTTTCTTCTGCTACTTGCACACTGTAAATAACATGTAACCTTCTTTTGTGGCACTGGGATGTTATGTTTTTATTTTTCATGTGTAGATTTCCAACCTATTGTTAAGCTTGCTGGTTTTCAGTTTGGTGCTTTCAAACCTTCTCTTGAACAGTTGAATTGAATTACATCAAAATAAAAAAGACATAATTCCCTGTTAACATATCAGTATAGAGAAATGCATGCTGTGATAAATAATAATCATAAATCAACAGGCCAATGATGTTGGCTGATATTGTTTTGGCACTGATATAACTTTATTGAAACATGTACGCAAAACACAAAACAACTTTTCAATGCATTACAATATTGTAGGCTGCATTTTATCTTTATTTGTTTGGCATGTTCTCTCCACATTATGTTTAGTTATTCTTTATAATAGTCGAACCTCACCAACATTGTAACAAAACAAATATCTCAAATGCAAACGTGGTGTCTTCTTGCCTTTGGTTAAATTAGGCAGCTTGATGCACAATGGCTACAAATATAATACATTTTCATATTTCAACAATAAGCTGCCATTTCCAAAGGCATTACATTTAGGGCCATTACAACTTCTGCCGTGCCAAGCCTTAACTCCACATCCAGGTTCCACGAGTTCTGCATAAGAGGATGGTGTATTGTCGGGAAGAAGCAGATGTGCCCATACTGCAAAGAGAAGGTGGATCTGAAGAGGATGTTCAGTAACCCGTATCCTTTTTATTCTGGAGTCCTCACATGTGTGAGCCTCCTGTCTTTTTCTGTGGTGCTTTATTTCACTGTTCTTTCTCTCTAAATAATATAAACAGTTAATTGGTATTATGTGCAATGTGAGTGCGCAGACATATACTCTGTATATAGGAGTGCTGATCGTATAAGAGGATATAAAAACATTTTAAACACCTCATGGAAGAGGACAGAAAAGTACCTTCAGGTACAAACTTAAATTGGACATTTTCCACATTGACAGCTGACCAACATTTACGAAACCCAGTCATGCAAGTTACAGGAGAAAGACATGTTTCTTGTACCAGAGGAAGTTTAGGTGAATTTTTCAGGCGACTCATAGCAGGCTATTTGGAAGGAGATATGAAACATTTATAGGTTGTATACCTACCTTCCTGTTCCTTTTTATGGCTCAGTGTGTACATATCAGATGACTGTGTCCAATGTGCAACTGTGTAGCACATTTTAAAAAAAAAACCTTCACAGAAACCTGAAAGCAGTTTGTAACTCCTCTTGGCCCTGTGCCATCACTTGTATATGTTATTAAGGCTTTATATTGGCACCCATGTATTAACCTTTTTTGATTGTTGAAGCTTTTTTTCTTTAACCTATTTTGTTTTAGCTGGGAGAGGCCACATGTCATGTATGGACAACTTTTAGACTGGCTTCGGTACTTGGTGGCCTGGCAGCCTGTTATTATTGGATTTGTGCAAGGTATTAACTACATCCTGGGTCTGGAGTGACCTGCGACTGTCAGAAATGGACATACACACCACATGGAGAAGATATGCACTGGCTCAAAAGACTGAGGGCCTAACATTGAACTAAAACACCAATAAAAAAGTGTCTATACTTTTTTGTATATATTTATAGGCACATATCTGTATTTACGATTTATTTGAATTTTTTCCCAATTTCCCAGGATTAGCTTCACACAGCGTTACATCTTAATAATTTGTTTGTGCATCTTATGGCCTAGTAAAGCGGTTGTCAAAATCATTAGAGAGGTGCTTTTTTCTAATTTATGTCTAGAGTGTTTGTTAATACTCAGTTAAAGGATCATGCTGCAGTTTTTCGTCCTCATGTCTGATGGCTGAGTAATAAATATTGAATGGAAATCAACACACGTCATCGCCCCCTGTGCCTCCAAAGTACATGAACGCAGACCTCCTCTGGTGTCATTTAATGTAATCACATGTATAGTTGTTTCCATATTTTGAACTTTAGTGACCTTAAGTTTCATAAGCAGTCATGCACCATGTGAGCGGAGGTGTCATCACTGGGGGGAAAAAAGTGCTAATTGGACGATGGGACTTGCCTGATTTCAAAATATGCTCATTGTCATTTGCTTTGACCTTTAGCCTTCTGGTTTATTTTTTATCATTTAAAATATCTGACCTCTCTTCTACATTACAAAAAGAACAAAACATTTTCTCACAGTGTTATGTAGCCATGGAGATAGTTTTGGTCCCTGTGGAACCTTTGAGTGTGTTCTGTGGATTATTCTGAGTTTCTGGAGTGACACATTGGCCTGGACATTTTTAAATCTAATTTTTCAATGCTGTGAGCACCGCCAACAAAATGTAATTTACCTTATTACCTTATTTTTTTATTGGGACGGCAGGATAAATTTTAGAGATGGATGTCTGGCCAGATACAAAACCCAAATTATCTGCATGGCTAGATTCTGTTAGAGGTAAGTGAATTGTTTTTTTTAAACTTTTTGTTGGTGAACATTTAAGTGTTATTAAATTGAAATTGAATCCCAGAATGATCCTTTAACTCAGTGAGAAAGAGAAATGAGAGTGTTGATGGTGCCAGTCTTATTTTTGTGTGATCTGTTCAATCCACGGTCCCATTTTCTTACAATTAGATTTTGTAGTCCAAAGTTACTGGAAGGGTGATGGTTGGGTTTGGGAGGGGGGGCGGGGGGGGGGTTTGCATTTACTGGTCACAGCCACATAATGCCAATTGTCCTCTAGTCAGACCTCGCGTCTAACTAGCACAGTAAAGGGACTATATGATATACCAAGATCATTTTGTTTTGTTGTCAATGTTTTGATCAAGATCCGTTAATAAATGTACCATGGCTCAAATGGTGTGGAGATGCTTTATCCATCGGTCTTTGAGGTTTATGTTTCCAACATTTAAAGCAATAACTGGAATCCGCTATGATTTAGTCAGCATGCATAATTTATTTAACAATAGGGGTGTGTGAGCAACTTACCAAGAACAAGAGGTTGACCTGCTTTGTGAGGAAATCCACCATGAGTGGGTAGTTTGAGAAATCCCCACGGACTGTGTCCACGCTTGATGCGTGTTATTTTGATTTAGGGAAGTGAATTTTGTTCATATAGCAATCCCAACCAGCAGTCAACCGCACAAAGCTGTCACTGGAGGATTCGGTATGAAGCTGTCTGTCGTAAAAGGTAATAATACTTCATACTAAAGCTGTAATTTTCACTGTATTATGGCATTGGTAGTGAATATGTATTTCTGCAGCAGTCTTGGGATCGCTGTGTATGCTGTTTGCAGATGGATTTCCAGGTACAGTATGTTTTGTGGGTGACAGCTGCATTTTGATGTCATTAGATTTTTATCCTAACCTAAATTTGCGCTTCAGTTTCAGAGGATGGAGCTCCAGAGATCATTGGGCCACATCGCGTCCACATCAAAGCTCACCCAGGTAGGTTACCACTTAGAGAAATGACCACCAGCTATCAAGTGTTTTCTGTTATTTACAGCTTACAGAACCTGTTAATGGGTCAGGGGGCTTTTTAGGATAGTTTAAAGGGTCCCCCTACTTTTATCGAACCTATGCCGTAAATATGTCTGCCTTACAGGTGACCCGCTGTTTCTTCACTGTGAAGCTTTTGCAAATTGTGATGATTCGGCAATCATCTACTGGCTCGTCAATGGCTCCTTCCCTGAAGACACGCTCAGCAGTGAAAGACTGGTAGAATCAGAGGAGTGAGTATTACCTTCACAGAGCATACAATTTTAGCCTTTTAAGTGCAGCTGTCAATACACAACTTTGTATTCTTGTCTTCAAATGGTTCTGAAGACTGCTGTTAAAACGAGAAAAAAATAATGCCTGATGTTAGATCCAACCAGGTTGTTAGAAACCAACCTGCAGCTGAACTGTAATGTTTGTTTTAGATCAACGTTAGAGGGGGGTACAATCCTACAGAGGAGTTTGCTGCTAAAGAATGTCACATCGGAGGACCTCAAATCCAACTTCACCTGTGTTGTGACGAACCCTGCTGGAACGGCCCACAAGCACACAATGTTAGCAGCAGCAAGGCGTGATTGTATTGTAGGGAAAAGAAGAAAACACTGAATGTTACTGTAGTAAAAAAGTGGGATTTTCTGAACCTTGTTTCACTTTTAAACCAACTCATCTATGACGAGAGTCGACATTATCTGTGAATGTATTATTATATATTATACTGTAAGATGGGAGAATTATGCCAAAAAAAAGTTGGATTAAGAAAGGGGTACATTTAGTTCCACAATAGCACATAATTTTCCTTTGATGGCTTCCCTTCAGTAAGACAACTGGTGTTAAAATGTATCTTCTGTTCTTTGAGGAAGGAAGTATGAGGAAATAACTTAGATATTATTACCCGCTCTCCTAACATGAATTTGATGCAGTATGTTGAAGACCCCTGCTTTATCCAAGGAAACAACACCCAGAGGCAACATTTTACATGGAACTGAACACACCTTTGTTACAATTGTAGTAAACTCTGTTACTGATATTTAGATGACTACCACTATATATGGACTGCAGGTTGTATGAAGAATATTGTAACAGTTATTTGCAATGCTTGTGTATCATTTGTCTGTTTGCTGGCGATTTTAAATTTGTATATTTTTGAGACTCCACTATGAAACAATCAATTCACTCCCACACCATGCAGTTGCCTAGAGATTTATTGTAAATCGGGTCATTTATTTCACACAGAACTTCTTTTCCCCTCAACGAGTATCACTGTCAGTACTTTCATTACATGCACAGAGATTAACACTTCAATATATGGCACTGATTGTAAACTACCAGGATTAGAGTACATATACTTTTTTGCTGTGTAGGATAAACAACACATAACTTCCGTTCTTCAATTAAGTACTGCATTACTTACCAAAACAATTAATGCATGCATCCAGCAAGCAATAATAATTAACCTACAAAACTTAAAAGTGCAAAATAATTTAGTTTTTACATATTTGAAATAATACTATGACTCAGGAGTCAAATTCCACATGATAGTGTTAGTAGTGCAGTTAAAGCTTTTTGAATAAGTCATATCAAGCACAACAGTAGAAAGGTGGCAACGTTTGCAATAATTAATGTATTCATAATGTAAAAACAATTACAAAACAAGGCTCCTTAATATCTCTCAGCTTCTGTAAATCCATATTAACACACATCAAATCAAACCATCCCCATTAGCTTAAGAGAGTCTGTTTCCACGTCAGTGTTACTGTGGAACAGAAGTGATCATGCTTGGCTCTAAACACTCCATTAGTGCATATGTTGGTTGAACAGGAGAAACATATTTCCCCAACAGGCACTTCAACAGTTTTCATCCTAGTGGAATTCAGTGGAAGCCTTGACATTTATTTTGTGCACGGAGCAGCTCAACTGGATGTTGCCTCTGACGCTCGCACACCCAGCTCTTCCAGGCAGCACTGCAAGTTGCCATTCCTGCCATGAATCGGATTTTCTCTGATCTTCTTCCTGATGAGGGCAGCAGCATCTTCAGTGACTGTTGGCCACTTTACAGAAGACGTGCAGAATGGCTGGAGAAGATCCTGATTGGTCTTCAGTGTCATTCCAAACAGGAATCGCAGGAAAATGTCCAGTTTGCCATCCTCACACTGCAGGCTTCTGTCCACTGCGCTTTTGTACAGCTCCATCACCTTGGGCCCCTTGAATATCCCTTTGACCTTGTTTTTCAGTTGCTGCTCAAAAATGTTCTTCCCCTGGTTTCTAAAGGAGAGAAACACATAAAGGGCAGCCAGGTACTCCTGCATGGTAGGGTGGATAAAGCTGAGGACTTTCTCATGAAACAAGACAAATGGCTTTGTGATGTACTGTGTGCACAGGCCAGTGTAAACCACTGCCTCCTCGCAGATTTCAACCTCTTTCCAGTCGGACTTAGTGATCTTAAACTGGCCTTGTTCCAGCATGTTGAAGGCCAACCTTCCAAGTTTCATGAGGAAGTCTATCTCTTTATCTTTGGTAAGATCTGGAGCTCTTAATCTGCGATGGTGACGTGTGAGTGCTAGCAGCAGCTTTGTGTACATGTAGGTGATGCTGCTGGGCAGCTCAGCCTCTGTCCCCTTTGACCTAAATATGTGCTGGCACTCATCAGCCACCAGTGAGCAAAACAAGGGCAGGTGGCACATGATGCGGAGGGTTTTGAAAGAGTTGATATACGCAATAACTCTTGCTGCTTGATCCGGGTCCTGAAATCTCTTCTTAAAATACTCGTCCTTTTCAGGGTCAAGGAAACCACGCACGTCTATCTCATCATAATGCGTGTCCCAGGGAACGCAGCGCTTCACTTGTGGCCGAGAAGTGACCAGGAAGAGGCCGCGGTAGTGCAGCCTCGCTCTGAGGAGGTTGACCACGATGACATTCAGGGTGGTGGAATCTGTGTGGTCACCGAGAAGCTCAGTGTTTTGAAAGTCAAGCGTCCCGTTGTACTCGTCCAGACCGTCAAAGACAAACATTATTTTGCAGTCGTCGGATCTATAATCCTCATCCCTCAGTTTCTTTGTTTCTGGGTAGAGTTTTTGTATTATTTCCATCAGGGAGATCTTACCATCCTCAAACTGTTTGAGTTCTCTGAACGGCAAAGGAAACAAGAAAGACACGTGTTGGTGGGACCGCTCTTCAATCCAATCGAGGATTAATCTTCTGACCGCCATAGACTTCCCTGACCCTGCCACTCCCGTGACCAAAATAAACTTTAAATTTGAGTTCTCCAGCCTTTCAGCGCTCAAAATATCCTTTGTAGAAAGCAGCTTCGCTTCTTCCCGGTTGCTGTCAAGCTTTTCTATGGTCATGACCTCATGTTCAATATTTGGGCCATTATCACAGGTTGAGGTTATGTAGAGATTAGTAAAGACATCATCAAAGGGCCTCTTCTCTTCCTGCGAGGACAATTCCTCACATATTTTCCTCTTCAGAGTCTCGCTTAAATCGTAGCGTACTTCGTCTGGAAAAAAAGTGCATGTAAATATATGTTATTTGGTTCAAACTGACAGTGAAAAGGGTGGCTTTTCATTTAAAACAGACAAAGTAAAAGTCTTTGTGGCACTTTGACTATTATCTCCTTGTGTAAATATATTATCCATCCCTTTTGTTGGGATTAAATTAACAGTAATAAACCCTAAAACAGGCTACTTACTTCTGATACACAATGTCTGAAGATAATCAACCATCTTCTTTTGCCCAATTTCCTCAAGAAGGGTTCTGGTGATCTGCAAAGATACCTCCAGGTGGTAACACTCGAGCAAGCGGTCCACAAGGTCCACCATGTCCATGCGTTGGGGAGGAGTGTTGAATGACTGTGGGTAACGCTTCCACAGTATCATCTTGAACCTCTGAATGTCTCCCACTGACAGCTTCCCAAGGGTTTTACTAATAGCCTGATTCCAAAGGAAGGATAACATTCAATGCAGTTCTTTTCAACTACAGGACATGTTCTACTTAATGTCTTTTAAAACTGATAAAGGCAAAAGGGGAACACAAACTGACCTTAAAAGTGAATGCCACTGTCAGAGAAGGATGCCTAACCTCATTTGAGTCTTGGATTACCTCAGGTGTGTCAGAAGGCTCTGGGGCAGAATCATCTTTGCTTGTAACCCTGGTGAGACCACAGTGGAGAGATTTAAACATATTTTCAATCTAGTATGTAATCACACACACTAACATGTTCAGTGCCACGCCATGGGTGTATTTCTTACTTGGGAATTCTCTTTTCACAATCGTCACTGTCCAGTGAGTAGCAGCTAGAGTAGGAATCTGCTCTGTTCAGCTGGACCCTAAAACCAGGATGACAAGTGGGCTTGAGTTATATTCATTGTAACTAATTGACTAACAACAAGGCACAGTACATTGAAAGGCACACATTACAAGCACAGCTGCTTCCTGGGTTTAATGTGATGAATGCATGAATTTATATATTGATTTAAGTTTTGCTGAATACTTTGTGTGGTTTGTACCTCGTGGAGGATGCATCTTCGTCATTCATGTTGTTTAAGTCCGACTCACTTGTAATTGACCAGTAGCTCAGAGCTGGAGATAAGGCCTGGTCCACGTGATGCCTGAGGAAAAAAAAAAGAAGGATGGCAGAATGAATGTCTGTTTATTACTTAGTGGCCGAATAACAAGCAATAACCGGCTTCTGTAGTACTTGCCAGATAAGCAGCCCATTTTAAGCTTAGCGCTTCTTCTCAAGCAGTATCAAGTCAAGTCTTTGGCATTTGAACTGAGGACCACAAGGACTTATGAAGGCTGATGGACAAGCATGAACTCAACCCCACTTTGTATTTTTATTTATTTAATTATTTTTCTTTAGCTTGGCTGTGTATTGATTCTGCTAGAACTCTGAATATTGTCGTTTTTGACAGGTATTTTTGGGGGGATGATGGGTTATGTGAACACTTAGGCTTTAGTAATGACGCATCTTATCTTTCTGTGAAAACTGGGGAGATAACCGTTAACATACAGCAACAGATACAGACAGGTAAAGATAACCACCTCATACCTGGCACACAGACTGCTGTAAAAAGACTTACAGATAAGTTCTCCAATCAGCCCACTAGGTGAAGCTGCTGAGCTGCCACACCACCCTTGTAGTTACACATAAGGTGTAGTGATATTCATTTCACTCTGTACTGATAAGACTAGTCGCAATTGTTCTACTTTGGATATGTTTTCACTATTTGCCATAACAAAACAACCCACAGTTACCACTCTACAGTCAGTGAGAGGACCCTTAGGGCCAGGAAGTAAAACATCTCAGTACCACTGGCTGATATCCATTGGACTTGGTCCCAGGTCCAGAGAAGGTCTTCTCTCAGGGATGTAGTAGAGCCCGTCATCTTCAACAGACGCAATGTCTGGACCTCTACCAGACACTGCATCCCCAGGGGAAGAGCTGCCTGACACTGTTTCCATCATCTCTATTTCAAAGTCGCCCATCATGTCATCAAGAGGGCCAGCCATTGACAACAGACGAGATCAACTTTTGGTTACCCAGAGGTGGTATCTCAGAACAGTAACCTGTCTGTACCTGCAGAAGAAAAAACATGAAATAATACAATATATCAGCTTTCACATTCTTTATCTGGGCGTATAACGAACCTGACACCAGACCAGAGTTTCAGGTTTGTTCAGTTAAGTAGCAGTAAATAGCGGCCTGTGTCTGCACAACAAAACTGCATTACCTTGTCAAAAGAAAATTACATGCAAGGTAATAGAAATGTCTTATAAATTGCCATTAAATGTCTTTGGCAATCAAATCTGATAACATTACAAGACTGTACTCTGTTTTGACATTCTCTATTGCAGTATATTATGATTGCTTTAGCTCAATATTTTAATTTACACAACTGTTAAATTCTTACATTTAAACACAGCATCCTGTATTTACTTTAATGTCAGAGATGGTTGAGAAAAATTAACATAACATAATACAATATGGCATATCACCATTCTGCCTTTTACAGTCAAGCGTTACTCTAAGATGCACATTTTCATGTTGGGTTTTGTGTTTGATAGATGAACATTTACAATGTTGTGATGCTGTTGTAAACTTGATGCATTATCATTTCATGTTGTAATAAGAGTTGTTTTCATTTTGCATGATGAGTCTATCCCTTATCCTGTAACACAATTTCAGTTACCCCCTTTGAGAGAAACCACTTCAACAAATTATCTTTTTTGAATGTACATGTAATCAAGTTCTTATTCCACTCAGATTACACAGCATGTAAATTAATGTTTCTTCCTCATCTTAACTGGAGGTGCGTTAATTATCTAAAATTTTAGTAACAGGTTGAACGCCTCTGGCACGCCCTGGACGTGAAGCCTGCCCACCATCATCATCATATCGCCCGTGTATTAACTTATCCGGTCTATGGTATTACCATGTCACAAACTGAAGCTGCATTATCATTTTGTCTGGCTGACAGACCATGCTAAGCTTGGCTAACGTTAACTGTTCCATGTTCTACTTTTGACATGTTTTGGTATTTCTTCTTCACTCTTCCGCCTCGAAGTCACCACATGATATATATCAGTGACCGACTATGTCAGCTGTGTCACCAACACCGGCCTCTCCTCATAATACTCCACAAAATAATGTCAACGGGACTTTATGGTGCGTTTATTGTTTAGCGTTAGCTGAGGTAGTTAGCTAGCGTTAGCTTATAACTTTGAATGTGGAAGGCTTAAACCAGGAATAAGACACGTGAGTTTTACGCAAAATGATAACATTGCTTTTATAGTGGTCAAAAATGTAAACGCATTGGTAATCACATAAATACATGCTTTTTACGTCCAAGGTATGCCATGAACAAAAGTTAACTAACTTAACGTTACCTTTTCTTTTTCACTTCGATTCAGGAAGAAGTTTCTTCTTCTCTCTTATCAAATAGCGTGAGTGTCAAAAATTACAGAGCACACTCTGCCACCTACAGGCCAGATGTGTGAAAAACATGCTGTGCTCTAGAGGAGGAGGTGGGGGAAGAAACACATCTTTTACTGTAGTTGAAGCAGAAATACCAAAGAGTATAGTATAGTCTCCTGAATATGTAAATGTTTTTAAAGTGTGAAGCTGACTCAAAATTACTTTTTTGAAATTTGAGCTCACTATCCTGTTTTATCTGTCTGTACTGCTGCTGCCTGTCCCTCGCAAAAGAGATTCTTCATCTCAGTGGGACTCTCCTGGTTATTTAAAGGTTATAATAAAAATAATTTTATAATTTTATGTATATTATGTACTATTGTTTTATTATTACTGATGCCTTAATGTAAAAGCTGCATTTTATTGTTTAGCTGGTCTGGGGTTGAGCGGATTTAAATTACTTTAAATACTGTTGGTTAGTTTAATCCACAACAAGGCATCATATTTTATGAGAATTCCTTTTGTATGTAAAATAAACGAATGTAGGACAAATAAATGTAGTGGAGACAAATTAATGATTTCATTGGCATGAATCACAGCACTCTATAATAGCCTAATTGCAGTGTTTGAGCCAATTGACAATTTAATAGATAGATAGATAGATAGATAGATAGATAGATAGATAGATAGATAGATAGATAGATAGTTTAATTGTCCTAAGGGGAATTCAAGTATCCATTAGTATATGAAACATACGTACATTAAACATACATTAAAATAAAATTAAAAATTGAAATAAAATTAACTTATAACACAGTAGACACAGTAAACAGTGCAAAACAGTAAACCTAATAATGTGGTATAGCCTAATAATAAAAACTAATACGACAATTATGAATTTTGTTCAATATTAAGGCTAGGCTATTTGTTTATTTATTAAGTTTAGCTATCCTTAAAATGACAGTTAAAAACGAGAACATTTTACTTTGAAGGAGAGCAGTCTCTGTTTCCGGTTTTAGACTTTCTTGCTCAATTTTCATTGTACAAGTTGGATAATGGAACAAGCCAACGCTCACTGCACGTCTTCATTCAATGCGATAATAACACAGCACAGTTAACATAGTTTAGGCAGGATTGGCTCTGGAAAAATGAACTCACATAGGTCAATATACATTTGCATTAGCGCAAGAGGGACAATGAAATTATGTAAAACCCCCTAAACTGGCATTTTTCATCATACAATAACAACTGCAGATGAATTATACTTCACACACGGGACCGGTCCAGCAGGAACCCATTTTAATCTTTAACCACATGTCAATATAATCCCAATACATATGATGTCAATATAATAATTTCTCTACACACAAATATTGTTTACAAAAAAACAGTGGTTGATACCTTGTTTTTAGTGGCATGAATTATTCAGCAGAATATCAGTTTACAGTGGAAGTCCTGAGTCCTGAGACAGTACTGAATTACATTTTTTAGTTAATATTTATTATAAAAGTGTATAAAAATCACTAGTATTGCATAATACTAAGATTGATAATAATAATAAACATAAATAATGGTTTAGCCTACGTTTTGAATGATTTTAAAATTGAAGCAAGATAAATACTCTATAATATAAGCACTCTATAACATTGTTTGATTCACAATCTAAATTTATTTTTTTTTAATTGTCAAGATTGATGCAGCAGAACCAGGGATGTTGTTTTTTTATTGCACACATTCTTTCTTGTCAAAACCTTGTGCTTACATTACCCACAATGCAACTTGAACACTGACAGTTCTGCTTGGAGATTTGGGTGCTTATGCTATTAGGCTGATGTAGCCTCTAACTGCTAGCCTGGAGCAGACATGAAGAGCGGATAAGATCACTTCTTTCTAACGCCATGCCCTCAGATTTTTTTCATTTAAAGACTTGCAGTCTTAAACCCAGACTGATGCAGACTCAACTGACATCACTTGAACCCCCTCTGGCACCACAAAAGGCTATACAACTTTTTTTCACATATGCAGTATTCCCCAAGATCTGTAAACAGCCTTTTAGTCTGTGGTGTTCCCCTTGAACTGTCTTGATAGTTGTGATAGCTGCTTGTATGGCAATTAGTAAAAAAGTGCTTTCAACATTTGCTAATGAGGAATGTATTATAGCATTTCTGCTCTACAGCTGGAGTTTATAAGAGCTGTGAATTTGCTTGTATTTCATTATTACATCTTATTTTCACTTCCATTTGTGAAATCCAGTGACATTATCAGGCTGGATAGCTTCCTGTCCTTGTTTGTGAAGGTTCTCAGTCATCCAGTTCATAGTTCTCCTGCCTATCCTTGTATTTATTCATGATTCTTGATAATATTGAATGCCAGTTTCACCTGCTTGTTTAAAATCATTGTGTGTACTTTGAAAAATATCAGTAAATTATGGGTTATTGGTTAGAGACATTACTTGCTCTTTGGGGAGTTTAAAATTGTAGCTCACTCATCTGATGTGAATGAAATTATCTGCTCCTTTTCTTATGCCACTTTTCATAATTTATTTGTGCTGTTGAAAGAATATGCTGACCATTTGTTATTCTACTGAATGAAAGAGTTGTTGGACCTAAATAAAAAATACACAATTAAATAATGAATAAATAGAAATAAACTACGCCGCAGTATTAAAAGATAACGAGAGGTGTGCATGTAAGCTATTTCTGTATATTTATTTGTCTATTTGTTGATGGTATAGCGATCAGTTTAAATGTAGTATTTGCTTTAGTGTCCGTGCAGTGAAAAAAGGCTTAGACCCTGAAACTATTTACCAATACATGAAAAAAAAAACCGAGGAACATGTCAGCATCCTTATTTCTTTAAGCAAGTGTTAGTGACCGCTACACTGCGCTTTGTGTGATGGAGGAGTGAGCAGCGACAAAGACGGCAGGAGGAAACAGTGGCGGGTATGTGGGGTGATTAGTGCCCGGGGATTAGAGGAGAAGCAAAGGAATCACTGTCAGAACAGCCATTGTGTTGAATGGATCAGTGGCCTTATGTAGTATTCACATTGTTGGCATATGAAGTAGAAAAAATTAATAATTTTTTCAAGTAGCTTATCATGCTTGCAGAAACAAAGGTGAACTTGTGCAATTGCTTTTGCTGACTTTAGCATCCATCAACACCAATATGTGGCATTATCGACTCCTACTGGTTGGCTGGGGCTCCTTTATGGAGGGGGAATCTGAGGCGGAGAGGTTTGGCCTAGCTCACTATAATGACAATGACAACTTCAAAGCAAACTATCACAATACCACTGTAAATGCTCAAGGATATCTTCTGCAAACTCATATGAAATTAGATAAACTGCTGTTATGCTGCAAATAAGCCTGTTTGGGGCGGCTGTGGCTCAGGAGGTAGAGCGGGTTGGCCGTTAATCGGAAGGTCGGCGGTTCAATGCCTGGCTCCCCCTGGTTGCGTGTCGAAGTGTCCTTGGGCAAGATACTGAACCCCGAATTGCCCCTGGCGGCTATTCCGCCAGTGTACGAATGAGTGTGAATGTTAGTTTCCGTTTGAGCACTTAGGCTCAGTATATGAATGTGTGTGACTGGTGAATGCAGATGTAGTGTAAAAGCGCTTTGAGTGGTCAAAAAGACTAGAAAGGCGCTATACAAGTACGGAGCATTTACATTTGAAGCTTTAAGATGTTTTGGACTATACAGCTGGTTTCTACTAGAGTGACTAGAGTGAATTAACTTCACGGGAGCAAGTTAAATTTTAAAGATGTTATTATCAAAAAATTTAATTCCTAATTGGTCCAGAAAGAGGCTGTGTGGCAGGCAATGTCAAAACTATTGGACTATTAGATAATTGAAATTTTCTTCATAGGGACCAAATAGATTGCTGACAAAGACAAACATCTCTACGAAAATACATAAATATATAAATATTAGTATTCCTTATTGGTACATTACTATGCAAGCACCAGCTGCAAATCTGAAATAGCCTCACCTACAGTATAGCTACACACAGAGACTGGAAATGCAGTGATAGACATGAGTTCATTTATTAGGGCCTGAGCATGAAACTTGGGAGATCCCTATTGGAACTAAATGAATTATTTTCTTCTTATTTTTCTTTCTTTCTTTCTTTTCTTTTTCATTCTTTCTTTTTCTGCAAAATAAACTAAATTTTGGAGGCCTAAACGTGCTGGAGACCCCCCGCTGTCATTCTGTGGAAAGCACTGGGAAGTAACTAGTAACGTAACAAGTAATGTAACTAGTTACTTTTATCACTCGCTAATAAGTAAAGTAATAATAAGTAAAGTAATAATATTACTTTTTTAAGGAGTAATAAGTAACTAGTAATTTATTACAATTTCTGAGTAACTTGCCCAACACTGGTGGCAACACATAGATCCAATCCAATACAAGATACGTTTTACAGTTTTTCAGTTCAGTTTATTTTGAAATCAATTCAGTTTATTATTGAAATCACTTACACTGTCAAACAGAGGAGCACAACTACAGAATCTTTCAGGTTTTCCCCTAAATTAGGCTACCTGACAACACTCAATAGTCTACTCAAGTTCTTCCAAAAAATAAGCCATAATCTAAAAATGACACATGACATGGCACTGAAACATCAGTGTTTAGAATATAGTACAACAAAGGGAGACACTTAAGTTTAATTAAGATATATGACTGTTATGGCCACGACCCCTAACCCAACCACAACATAAAACATAAAAATGCAAGATAAAAAATATTTTAGATTTAAATTTTTCCAATTTAAATGCTATAGTTATTTAAATAATAAAATGAGTCTAAATGCAGTGCTTTTTGGAGCTAGGAACACTGCTTACCTAATATACTGTAGCCTACTGCCCAGTATTTATTTTTTACTCTTGGGTGTGGGGTAGCCAGGCAGGAATGGTAGTAATGAATTAAAAATTTGTTGCTATGTAATAATATGCATAATATGCATTTAAAAATAAGAAACAACATATTGTAAATCTTATTTGCAATAAAATAAAATAAAATAATATATTTTTCTTTATCGATCAATGAATTATAGTTATAAATGGGGTATCACTGAAACATTTTGCTAATATTCACGGGGAACACAACTATTTATCTGTACCTCATTTCCTGTGCATTTCCTAATGCAAAGATCCTGATACATGAAGGCGTAGCATTAGAGCAAAAGGAATAAGGACAGCTTCACTCAAACTGTTAACTCATAATCCTTCCAAATGTAGGTTTCCCAGTATTTAACACTCTGATAAACAGCAAATTCATCAAATTCGGGTCAGGTCACTATTTTTCAAGTCATTGTAGCTGTCTATTCTGTCAAAACGTTCATTTCTTATGGAAGCAGGCATGGTTTCACCTCAGCTAGGTTGAAAAAACAGTAGACATGGGATTTTCTTTTCTCTGAACAGTGCCAGCTCCTTGCTCTACTGGTCCAAATCAGTTTTACTCCACAGTTCACTGAGATATGTAGTGCAAAAGTGAGAAAAACACAGAACTTGTCACATACTGATATAGGGTGTGCAAATTGTGTCCTTGACCTCACGTTTTGAGATACCGGTACGTGAATGTGTTTTGCACCATATTCCCTGCAGCAACTGTAGCAAAAAATGTGAGTATGTTTCTTAATTTGTGATTCATATAATAGAATCTATGCACCTGCAATGAAGACTTTGAGATGATGTAACCGTTGTGTATGTAGAGTATATTTATAAGTGTGACTTCAAGTTTACTGGCTATTTACTCCAATTACAAATTCCACTAATTTTTTTGAAGTACATATTTTTAAAACATAAAATTCATATATATTTTATAAATTTTTACAGAGGTCCTTTTAGATTTGTGACCTCATAGATGGCTACTGCCATGGCTGCACTGCCTATAATTCCACCACTGGGCTGGTGCCTATGTATTGGAGGAGACGTATGACTGTCCACATTTTCCTCAAATAAACAGTGATGATGTTTTTTAAATTATGTAAAAGTATACTAGTTGATACTACTACCACCACTACTTCCCTGTAATGTGGTAAGTGGTTAGATCAGTGGTTCTCAACCTTTTTTGGGCCAGTGTCCCCTATCCATTATCCAGGTCCCTTACCGCCCCCCATCAAAAAAGATGTTGGCTATTTGCCCTGAATGTTGTTGATTTTTTGTTGTTGTTGTTGTTACTAGTGTTATTAAAGGAAAAAGAACATTATTGAATGACAAAAAACATATTAATTATTTTCCCAGGTAACAAAAAAGCCATGTGAATAGTAATTATATTTAACTAATAAGTGAATGTTCCTCCCAAAAACTGTGTGTGAAGCCAGAGACTGTTTTCTTGGATGGGCACCTAATAAGTGGGGGGTATAATTTCCTGCATTCTGGTGAAGATTTCTGCTCCAATTTCTGCCTTTTCTGCACCAATTTATGGTGGAAATGTCTTATTATATAAAGGGAAACACAAAATTCAAGTGGTAGGTGTCAAAATAAAATATGGAATATAATGTCTCTCAGGCATTCTTCATTGCTTTTAAATATTTTTCTCCTGTAGATCAACTTAATTAATATCATCCCTGCTGAGTCAACACACAACTAAATCTACTCTTTTGTGGGAAAGTAACCTATTTAAATATGTTTGTGGCCCCTTTTCATCTCAGTGATAAATTAATCCGTTTTAATTCAGTTATTGACTGGACTTTATTAGCTCACCTGTTAATAACTTATATCATAACTTGGTGTTTCCCACTGAATGACCGTGTAACTGTGGCGCAGCTATATACAGCGTGCTAGCCTTGAAAACCCAGCTGTATTCTAACGTTAACTTAGCTCTCCTTATTAGCTAGGCTCCTTAAATGCTTGCTAATAACTTTTTTTTAAAGCTGGGTCTCCGACATTGAAAGCGTTGTGTTGGACTGATTTGTGCAGCGGTGTTCATGAGGGAGAGAGAGTGTGGGGCAGATGAACGAGAGAGAATGTGCTGCGCGAATACACTATGGTGCTCTGCAATCAATTCCTATTTTAATCAATAAAATCAATATGTGGCAGTCAGCGTTGATATTACGGCGTGCCGCCACAAATAAATGAACGTTTGGGAAACACTGTAACTTATCTGCTCATGATCAAAACTTTCTGCACATTCAGAATCTCTCCCATGTAGCCTGTCTGTGTTCTCTGACATGTAAAGCAAAAAAATAATATTATAATATAATATTATAATATCGTAATATTAGGAAACTAACGTTATTAGCCTATTTAAAGAGAATTCATAATATTGTACTAAATGCCCTATACTGCATTACGTTAGTGATTCGCTGGATCCCCAGTGTATCCCCTCGACCGTCTGACAGACACAGAACTAGATGAGACAAGGAGGTGCTCATACCGGGGGAAAATGAAACTAACCGACAACACCTGCGATCAGGCAGAAATCTCACGAACAAAAACACAACATGTTAACTGCAGCACCTCTGATAATGTGCCGCTTACAATCCCCATTAAATTGAATGATCTAAAGATCTCAATTGAATTAATAAAAACAAAATCATAAGCATTGTTGTGTTAACATCCTTATTAATTTCTGGTTGTTCTGCAGTGCAAATAAGTGCTGACAATCAGCCGAGCTTTTCATGGAATAAGCACTTATTCCCATCAAAATCCAGTATAATCTGGATGTCATTAATTCCCATTAAGACACATCTCCTGTTTAGACTCTCCCTGTCGCTTTGTGGCATTAATCACCTCTCATACATACATACTTCGCACGATGACTCCATGTCTGTGTATGAGGGAGGATGCTCAGAGTGAACCCAACCTTCCCAGACACCAGTAAGAAGTGATCAGTCTGTGCGTTGTTCTCCTCTGCTCTGGATGGTGGGCTACTGGGATGTATTTTGGAAGGGGGGTCGGGCAGCAGCGACCCACCAGCATCACCGCCACTGAGCCTGACATGAATGACAAGTAAAAGAGGTCTTTCACGCGAGCAAATAGCACAGGAATGTGCACAAGTCTGCTGGGCTCCACTCGGGCTTCTCTAATCGACATTTTGGACCTTTTGGACCTACCCCGGTTTGTTTGTAAACACCACGCTGAGAATTAAGAGAGCCCTTGATTTGTATTTTGTTGCACAGATTTTTAATTGCATTCTTTGTTTATTTTTTCTTTTCTTTTTAATTTCTGAGGGGCGAGTGGGTTTGTTGGGAGGTTTTTTTTTTTCTTTTGTCAAGCCTGAACAAGACAAACTTCTCCCATGGCACTGGTTATGGAGCCCGTGAGCAAGTGGAGCTCCAGTCAAGTGGTTGACTGGATGAAAGGTAAGGCTGAATTCAGGCACGATGATAGCCAAACCGAAACTGGTATCACCAAACTGCTATGTTGCAATGAACATAGTGTCGCGCTGCGAGTCGAAATGCAACAAAGATTCACTCGAGATGCCAAAAGAGAACAAAAACACCTGCTGAGCCTCGAGATTTTTGACTCATCTGGTTCTAAAGGCTTTTAATTACCTCCTTACATCATTTGATCGATTTTTTCCCGGCACTTAATGTGGAGACTACTTGCCCCTTCAGATCAAGATGTTCCCCAGAGCCTAACGTATTCAAACAGCACAAAACGCTTTAAAAGCTCCATTGTGTCCCGAGATGGTTATTGTTAACGTGGGGCTGCCTTGCAGGAAGCTGGGAAACACAGCGGAGATCCTGGAAATAACACACGATTAATTACCCTTCTCAGTGGATCTGGGGTCAGAATTTAAGAGATAAAAAGCTCCAAGCTATCGACCAAGGTTTATATGTGCAATTTTTAAAATAAGAGGCAGGCTACAGCTCTATAGCAGAGCTTGTGCAGCCATCTGTGCGAAATGTTGATCCACAGATGTTTTAAGTCATTAAGAAGTCACAGCTGACTTGGAAGAGCATCGTGTAACTAGCTTAAACACTTTAAAAACCTCATAGTGTACTGAAACCTAAGGTGATGCTCATCCGTTAGCATTTAAGAGCTATCAGCTCTCACTTCAAGTTGGACATGTATTCAGGCGAAGAGCATTTTAGTGTAAAATACAACATCTCTTTAAATTTGGGAAACATCCAGCAGTGAAATGAGTTTCAAGTAGGCTACACCTGCACAGATAGGATCCAGTTTGGTGATGAAGCACTCTTAAGGCCAGCTGCCATCTAAGAGAGAAAGTGTTGTTTTGACTAAACTGGAGAGATTAATATACAGTTAAAATGTTTTTATCATTTATGAGATTTGGGAGCAGTGTTGGAGGAGAGGCTCCTCAGAGGAGAATTGTTTGTCTCCAAAGACCTAAGAATGGCCCACACAAGCCTATCAGGAGATTCTCACACATTACTCATTAGATTTGCTCCCTTTTGTCTGTTTGCATTACAAAGTGTTTACCACTGGTGGTCTGTTACTATCAAATATGTACCCAGAGATATATGTGTATGTGTCTGTTAGTACAGTAATTGTTTCGCTTTTGTGTATTGTTTTGCAGAGCCACGTGCTCACGTGTAAGGCCTTCAGAGACGCTCCAGATGAAACATACACATACATCTTTACTGCCTCAACACACCACACACACACACACACACACACACACACACACACACACACACACAAACACACATGGCCTGAGTCATAATTCTAGGCCTGAAGGCCTTTCTCTGCTGGCTCAGACATATATGATTGCAAAGATCAGACCTCTCTTTTTATGAGGTGTGTGTTACAAATTGTACCTGGATCTGATGCTGCCTTTTAAGCGGGGTGTTTTTGTTTGCTGGCCCAGTAAAGACACAAAATGCAACTGTATAGGGTTTAAAGGGGACACAGGGATGAGACAGAAGAGTTCACATGAGATCTAAGATGATCTGCAAATAAGCAGGTAGCACAAGTGAGAAATAGGGAGCGAGAAGCGTGGCTTCTATATAAGAGAGGGTTCTTCAGTGTCCCACATCTGACAAGTGGAGCAGAGACGATTCAGTGCCCAGAGCCCGGTAATGGTAATTTAAAGTGAGGGACAGAGTGGCACAGAGAGACACTGAGGGAGAGAGGGGGTTTCATTCTTGTCTCACATCCATTCTCGGCTCCTGAGGACTGGCAGGATTTTGTCGTTAGCATTCACAGGTTCCATTATTAGCATACCACTCCGTGATGTCACTGGGGGCCAAATAGGGGCACCCTGTGACCTTCCCACAATCCCACTCTCCACCCCCCAGTTAGTGTTTTGTGTGAGCAAGACGCTCTATTCCCAGCTGTGACAAAGCCGCTTTGAAGAAGAGATTCTCATCACAAAAGGGAAAAGAATTCCAGCTTTGACTGAAAATTTGTTCTTGACAAGTGCATGGCAGCGGTGCAAACACATATGATATGTGCATTTTGCACGTGTGTGTTTGAGGCACAGACCTAATGCAGGCTCAGTATAATCTCTTTACTCTTCCTGACAGTGTGCATTAACATAATTAGGTTTTGTAAAGTAAATCAGTTTTATTTTTCTTCTCTGTCTGTCTTTCTTGCTTCTTCACTCTCTCCTCACACTGGCGGTGGTCAATGACAAGTCAGATTAACATAAATCCATTATAACAACACACTAACAGCCTTAAATGTCTCTCTTACCTCACATTACTAGTGGATTATCTAGAATGGAGATAAGTATGTGTCAGTGCTGTGTTTTTAATTTCTCCTCAGCGTGCTTGATAATCTGACCCGGATGGGATATTGAGAGTAAAATTGATGTAGTGGAGATTACATAGCGCAATCAGCGAAGTGTACTCCATCTAGAAGAGAGCTTTCTATTACATGATGACAGCTAGAAAAGGAGTCATTAAGATATGGCATTTTATTTCCAAAGGGGAAAACAACCAAACTTTCGCATTCATGAACAGCATGTTAGTCTTAACTCTCCAATTTCAATTATGGTAATAACTTTTTATTTATACAGCACCCATCAACAGATAGTGCTATACACACTTGCTTTCCAATAGCATTTAAAAATGTAAAATCCTATGAGAGGTTTTTATTATTATTATAATTATTGCTAATGAAATCAGCAGATGCTACCACGTAGTCACTTTTTGGAAAGCATCATGTCTTCTCTTCACTTATTTCTTTATTGGTTCTGCGGTCAGGGAGAATCCCTGCCAAAACCCTGCTTTGTGGTATCTATGGCAACATGGGGAATACTTCACTGACATAATGAGTCTCAATTAACTTGGTAAAGAGGCTGATTAGTTGAGCCTTTAAATTTTATGCAAAACCATGAAACTCCCTATGTTTCCTCTCCACCGTTTAGCTGCCAGCTAAACCCGATGTGAATGCTTGATCAGATTTAGGCACAGCACTGAGTCACATGTACATGATTGGTCCGCAGCGATGAAAAGACGAGATGAGCAAAGAGTTGTCAGTGTGTGTGTATGTAACTCTCTCACTGAGAAGATGGAAACAGACCGAGTGTATAGAAAAAGCCTTTCAAAGGCTTCTCTCTCTGTCTCCAGTGGTAAAGGGATAGCCATTTAGCATGCAGGGCACCATCTAGTGACATTCAGCTATGAAAAATATACATATATAAATGAGTTAGAGCTGAAATGATTAGACAATTAATTGATTAGTCGATTGATAGAAAATTAATCTGCAACTATTTTAATAATCGTTTAAGTGATTCTTAGCAAAAAATGCCGAGAATTTACTGCTTCCAGCCTCTCATACGGCAGTATTTGCTGGATTTCATCGCCTTCTATGATAGTAAAATGAAAACATTCAGGTTTTTGGACTGTTTGTTGGATAAAACAAGTAATTTGAAGACATACCTTGGGCTCTACAAAATTAAAATGGACATTTTTCTAATCTTGACATTTTGTAGACCAAATGATTGATTGATAAATCGAGAATCTTTTTTATTGACAACGAAAAAAATGGTTAGCAGCCTTAAAATGAGTAATGAGGCTTTGAGCTAAATAGTGTGATAGCTTGATATGAAAGTAAATAAAACTGCAAATAAAATTGTAGAGTCTAGAAACCCTCATTCAGAAACTTCAACTAACAAATCAAAATGTATGTATTTATATTTCAAATTTCTTTAATTTGAGTAATTTTTTTTGTAACAGCACACAATGTTGACGGTTTCAACATAATTTTACATCATTAGGGCAGTAAAGAGTACTGAGGGTGGACACTATATCATTAACCTGACATATGTATAACGTATGTAGAAATGTGCAGTCCAATACAATTCCTCTGAAATAATTCTTTCATAAGAGTTCCTGATTTTATGTCTGCCTCCCCCTGTATATACTGTACTGATGCATGCGTTAGCGCAGTTTCCAGTTTTAAACCTCAGCTGATAAAATGAAAACCTTTGATGAAGGCAGGAGTGGCAGAATCAGTCAGTTTGTTTTAGTCTGCTGCATTTCATCGACTGCTTCAACAAAAGACTTCACACCTGCTGCAGCAGTGAAAGATCTAAAACAAGCTGAGCACAGACACATAGCCCTTATTAGTTGAAAGCTTTTTCTAGTTTAAAGCTGAAAATGCAGCTCAGGACTGTTGACGAGGAGGAATCTGTCAGATTTCTTGCCTGACAAGGACTGTTTCACACTTAAGACACAACAAAATACAACCTGTGCTCACACATTACAGATTTACAGCACAAATTCTGGCAAGGAAAGCGATAGCAAGCCCTATTAGAACACATTATGCAAATACAGGTTTCATAAGAAATCAGAAAGTCTGAAATCACCAGCATACAAAATTTTCACTTTGTTGTGCTGAACTGAAAGTTTGCCTGTCGTCATGTGTGGGTCTCTCAGGCCTGGACGACTGCCTGCAGCAGTACATCAAGACCTTCGAGAGGGAGAAAGTAGGGGGGGACCAGCTGCTGCGTATCACCCACCAAGAGCTGGAGGATTTGGGAGTGTCCAGAATCGGCCACCAGGAGCTCATACTGGAGGCTGTGGACTTACTCTGTGCTCTGGTGAGTCCAAGCTTCCCACGCTGTCTTCCCACTGTACTGTCACGTCAAAGAGTCCTAGTCCACTGCTGTTGGATAAAGTTTCAGTAGCACATTAAGTGATTTCTCAGTTTATTAAGTACTTCCAAAACTCACTGGATTAACCCCAAAAATGTGGCATCATTAAGCCAGAAAAAAGGGTTGTTTTTTAGTCTTGAAAATCTTTGAAAATGTAACATTTCAACCAGTAGTGATCATGTGTTGGCATACATGAAGTCTGCTAATCAGTTTACAATGTCAATCATGAATATTCAGGAATAAGTTAATTTTTATTGTTTTGTCAAAAGTCAACAAATTTTACTCTTACAAATTTCACTGAGGCTTTAAAACTTCAAACATCATAGCAAATAATAATAATAATAATAATAATATATAATAATAATAATAATAATAATAATAATAATAATAATAATAATAATAAATAATAATAAATAATAAATAATAATAAATAATAAATAATAATAAAATATCTGGACAAAATGTCCTCTACAGGCAAATCTTACTGCTACCATCCGTACTGACATGAATTTACAGCCTGCTATTCAAGTGATTTCTGCTGTTAGTCCCAGAAACACAAGCTATTTGTGTCAGCACAAAAGACTGCTGCTCTGCTGATTGGGCTAATATGCTGCTGAAACAATGAAAGCCTAATTTTTATATGACAAGTAACACTCTACATGCCACTGCCGCAACATTAGACGGTGTAACTTCCTGAGCATCTCTTTTTCCAGTTTGAAACCCAATAGTTTTTGATGATGTAAATGTATTCACTTTTACAAACTCTACTACGTCTATGAATATGCACTTTCCAAACCTTAAATTAAATAAATCAGTATCAGTATAATTTGCAGTCTCAGGTGAGAGATCTTAACTGTGTGTAATGTTTCTTTGTTTGTTTATAGTTTGGGATCTTTGTTAGATGATTTAGGCTAGGTCTGTTAACTCACAGAAGCTCATGAAGTTTACGTCATCTAATTAGGCCTGCAACCAACAATTAATTTTGTTACGGACTTATTTTGTCAATTAATGTTTTGTTACATAAAATGTCAGAAAAGAAAGATTTTCAGATGCTTATTTCTTGTTATTTATTCCCACTGGGGGAATAGCCAGGCAATCAGAATGTATACCCTGATGGTTTCTCTCAGAGTCTTAATATTGCTGCTGATTTACTGCTCTTATACCAAAATACACATGTATTGTGGTGTTAAGGGTGAACAGCTACACTGAGGAAATGTAAAAGTAGAAGGTGGTAAAGGATGAAAGAGAAGATGTTTCCCAAAGAGACACATAGATAGACTGGATGGAGATTTGGTGGACTGAGGTCACAGATGCAATCTGAATCTAAAGTCCTCTCATCGCTGCATGGGAGGCCTTGCTTCAGCCCCAAAGCTCCTTACGTAACTGGGATTTAGTTTTAAGTCTCTAAGGCACTGCTGTATTAAATATGATTAGTGGCCCTCCTGCCGCTCTCTCCCCTCCCAAGAAACTCTGACGTGACAGACGCCCACAGGCCTGCACGTGCAGTTCGCCGTTCAGGGTAATGAGAGTTCTGCTATCCCTAGACATGCAAAGTGACAGCTGGAGTGGAGCGGGGCTGGGTGGAGGGGTCAGTGGTTTCTCATGTTTGTCATATGTGCAGCATCTTCTGTGGTGCGACAAGTTGGGCTTGTTTGCCAGTGGTCATTTTATTCACACAGCGTCTCATGACAACAATTGGTTTCAGTATCCACACAGGAGAAATTCTTGGAAGGCATCACAATACAAACACTCGACAAACTAGTCAAACAGAGTGAATTTACTTTCCTCTCTCCTCCAGAATTACGGGCTGGAGACTGAGAATCTGAAGACTCTTTCTCATAAGCTCAATGCATCTGCCAAGAACCTACAGAACTTCATCACAGGCAGGCGGCGCAGCGGCCATTACGATGGCCGAGCCACCCGCAAGCTGCCCAATGATTTTCTTACCTCTGTGGTGGACCTGATCGCTGCTGCCAAAAGCCTTCTGGCGTGGCTGGACAGGTGAGATTTGCAAAAAGGTGCACCTGTAACACATTTAAACATGTTAAAAGGCATGTGTGAACACTTTGATACACACATAAATACACACTCATGTACGATGTTTGCCCTTTAGTTTTTTAAGTTTGGTGCTACAGGAGCAGCACTGGTTTTGACTAATATAGTCTCACCCACTTTCATTGAAACTTTGGTCCATTTTGGCAAGCCCTGAAGTTAATCTTAGATACTTATGAGTGTTAATTGTAGTTTCCAGCAAAAATTGATTAGACTGGATTTCATATGATGGATTATTTGAATTTGACATTTTCTTTACATTGGTCGAAAAATAACCTGCAGTAGATTAAATAGTAGGGCTGTCCCTGACTAAGGATTTACATGGTATCATAAATGTAAAAACTAGCCTATAGTCGACTGATAGTCGAATCATATGCTTGTGCGGCAGCCGTGGCCGGGATTACGCACAGCTTTAATCTTGAGAAGCTGCAGTCTCTGTTCTCACTTACTTCCTGTAACTTACACTGTACATTTCAGGCTAAATTGAGGCTTGTGCCCATTTTCTCTCTGCTTGCCAGTCTTGTGCAGAGCTGCCGTGCGGCCGACAACTGCATGCATTTTTGCGGTTCCTCGTGGGTCTGTTCCATGTAACTATTGAAAAACGATATAATATTCTTCATGTGGTTCATCAATGGCGATAAATGATCCGAACGTCCCGCGAGGTGCGGACGACACAGCAGAACACCGGCACAGCTGATGGTCTCTCTTTCTCGTCCGTCACACATACACACAAACGCTGAAGCGCACTGATGCCCCCTACCTTAAGGGTTAGTGTTACAATTTGAGTTTTTGGCACTTCAAAAAGATTAAAAGCTTCTTTCTTTTCACATTTTAATTTACAGCATTATATGTTGAAATTTATATCACAATAGGCTGTATATGAACTTAGTGGGAGAAAACCGGTAGTTCTATGTAAATTGAGACTTTGAGCACCCCCATATAGCCAAAATGGTATGATGCTACTTTCAAAACGGAGTTGCTATGATTTGACAGTGAGATTGGCAGTCAAATCAGGGTCTGCACATTGAAACATTGAATCTTCGACTTCGTCAGCCCTATTAAATATATAAGATAAAATATATAAAGTGGCTTCGAAAAGGAATGAAACAACCTTGTTTATCTGGCATCATTGATTGCTGCATGTAATGTTTTTGGGGGGTTCTGGTGTGTTTTTACCACATACAGACCAGTTTTGTTTTTTTATGTTATGTCCATGACCAATCAGCTGACAAGAAAAGATGAGTAAAGGCCTTATATAAGTAGACTTTGACAGAGTGGCCAAAAAGGCACTGAGCAAGTCTATTTATATGTGGCTTCATCCCTTCCTTCTCTGAGGGATTGTGCCAATGTGTTTGCCTCTGTTTGTGTGTGTGTGTGTGTGAGTGTGTGTGTGTGTGTGTGTGTGTGTGTGTGTGTTTGATGAATTTGGAAGTTCGAAGCACACAGCATTCAGCCGAAATAACAAAGTGAATTGCTTTTTCTTTTCCCATATAATCCTCTACAGCATCTTTAAAAAAAAATTCAACATTCAATGTTTGATTTTTAATGTCTGAATGCATCATTGTTGACAAAATTACACTTTGTAGTTTAAATATAACTCTGACGTCATGTTTAATGTGCTCAGAAGTACAGAGAATAAATGAGCATTAATATTGTTTCCTTTAAAACATGGATAGAACTAAGGGAATCCTAGTGTGTGTGGACGTGTATGCGCGCGGATGTACTCCATTGTGTGTTGGAAATGTTCCCACAGATTTACCAATGATTTAGTCTCAAAGGAAGAATGATCTAATGGTTCATTCCAGGTGCTCTTTCTTTTTCAGGTCTCCATTTGCTGCAGTGGCAGATTACTCCGTGACGAGAAACAGCGTGATCCAGCTGTGTCTGGAGCTCACTACAATTGTACAGCAGGTAAGTAAATTGTATAATATGATATCATAATATACAGCTGAAGCCCAGGTAACCTGTTTTTGTGTATAAAAGTTTTTACATATTTAATAGTTTTAAATAATTTAACATCTGTACGTTATACATATACATTATATGCATATGTTTTTTGAAAAGCTGGAGTTAGTTATTTAATTTGTGTTATGCTTGATACGTATAAAACTGAAGCAGCACATAACTCCTTGTATAAACAATAAACATCCAACCTAGAGCCTCTAATACAGTGGTTCTCAACCTTTTTTGGGCCAGCACCCCCTATCCATTATCCAGGTCCCTTACTGCCCCCCATCAAAAAATATATATGAATATTGTTGATTATTATTATTATTGTTGTTGTTGTTACTATTGTTACTAAAACATTTTTAAAAAGCACATTATTAAATGACAAACATCCATTTTATTGCTTTTCCAGGGAACAAAAAACCATGTGAATAGTAATTATATTTAACAATTGAATGTTCCTCCGAGAAACAGTGTGTGAACCCAGAGTTTTCTTGGATGGAGCATTTAATAAGTAGGGGGTCTGGGGGTCCACCCCAGAAGATTTTGAACATTAAAAACTTAATTTCCTGTATTCTGGTGAAAATTTCTGCCTTTTCTGCACCAATTTATGGTGAAAATGTTTTAATTTATATAAAGGAAAACACATAATTTAGAGGGCAGGTGACAATTCAAATAGAATAAAATGTAGCTAGGTATTCTTTTTTGCTGTAAAATTTGTTTCTCCTGTATATCAACTTATTTAAAATCATCCCTGCTGAATTCAACACACATGATTTAGTCTTTCCTCCTCTTTTGTGTCTTATGTTTGGGGAAGTAATCTCTTTAAATGTGATTGTGGCACCTTTTAATCAAAACAGATCTAACCAACAACATCTCAGGCAGAAATCTCACCACAATTCCACATACGTTAACTTCAGCACCTCTGATAAAATGCTACTCACAGTCCCAAACAGAGCAAGTTTGCGCATCAGTTTTTAATGTTACATTTTTATATTGAAACTCTACATGTCACACATAGTTGCTTTCAGGGGAAGTCCGACAGCGGAATATCCCCCTTGTAAATGTTTAAACACTTTGATAACAAAGCGTTACGGTGTATTCCTCAGAGAAAATATGCCTTTTAAAAAAATATGTTTTGTTACGGTAATACCAAGAAAGAGAGTGTCCTTTACACAGTAAGCGCCATGTGGGTGAAATTTAACAGATAATACTCTGACTTCCCACTCCCATGAAGGCATCACGGATCTGCGCCACAAGAAGCTGACAGACACACAGAAGAGAAGAAAAGTTACGATACACACCGTCTCGTCCAGTGGCAGTGGAGTAGACAGATTTTAATGTTGCACAGTTTTTTGCAAGTAGTTGAAAGTTTAATCTCATATTGTTGTGAATCTTTGGTGTAAACTCACCTTAAAACTTTCACCTCGACAAACGTGCCCCAAGAGTAGATCAGGGCCCCCTTTTCCAAAATATTGCTTCCACCACCCCCTGTTGTACTCACGTAACACTAGCTCTAATACCCTAACACAGCTCTTGTTTTCTGCATGCATTGCATTTACATATTCAAATATTCTAACATGAGTAAAAACAAAAGGTTTATAAACAAGCTACAACAAAGTTCTGCTGTCTAATCAGTGTCATTACCTTATACTCCAGGTTTACTGACATGCGAATGAATAAACTTCATTCTGTTTATGAACAAATGTTTGTAGTTTGTCTGTCACTGCTTACAAGACAGAAGTGTTTTAGTTGGACTAGGCTGTCAGATACACTGTCATATAAAGCATCACCTCTTTCAGCTACAGTTGAAATACATGTAAAGATATTTCAAAAAGACACTGCAGATCAGATGTGATGATGATCAAATGGGAGAAACTCATCACAGATTAGATTTTAATATGTATATACTGTATAAATGCTGACATTCAAAATCAGCCCTGTGCGACCCTGAAAGATCAGTAAATGATGAGAGAAGTGATGCTTAATAGATTTTAGGACGGTCTCTCAGGAGAATAATGTTGATATGGTGTTTAGAGAAACATGTAAGTAGGAAAAATTAAAGGTGGGCGTGAAAGAGGGTGATAGGTAGAGAGTTGAAGGCCGAGAGAGGAAGACTGGCAGAGATAGAGAGAGAGAGAGAGAGACATGCCTCCGCATTGGTGATTCATTTGTTTTGTGTTTGTGCATGCCTGTGTGGGAGTGTTGGGGGTTATAGGTGCCAAGCTGCTCGGTTTTTGCTTATATCCACCTACAGCAGAAATGCCAATAATAACTCCATTTTGACACATTCTCTTGAGGTAACAGTGCTCTCTGAATGTTCCCCAGGACTGCTCTGTGTACGAAACAGAAAACAAAATCCTGCATGTGGTGAGTTACAGACTTTATTACACTGGAGCGAATGTAAGTGAAGCTATAATGCACAGACTTTAAGATTGTATTCATCCATGTATGTCCTTCCCAGTGTAAAACTCTCTCTGGAGTGTGTGACCACATTATCTCTCTGTCCTCGGATCCCATGGTGTCCCAGGCTGCACATTTGGAGGTTGTGCAACTAGCCAACATAAAATCCACTGAAGGACTGGTAAGACCATCTCTCAGTCAGACTTAAAGGATCACACTCATTGGTCATTCTACGTGGTATGCCATTGGAGAATGCTCGGTGTGTTTCTGTGGTGTTACTGAAGCAGTAACCTTTTAAATAACAGGCTGCTTAATTTCAAGAAATAACTAAACAATTACCTGGTGATATTGACGTAATGGATGGAAATGGTTGTAGCTCAACCAAGCTTTACTGTAGTGTTTGTATGAAATGTACTGCATAACCTTTTACTGTACACGGCTTGAAAAATGTAGAGGGCCCTGTTTCATATTTCATAAATATACTGGTAGGTCCAATATAAAACAAATTAAGACATCAATTCTGCGTAATTTCATTTCAGATGCCCTCTTACGGAATGTAGCAGCGAAATTTAGCAGCCTGTAAATTAAAAGGTTACCCAAAGTAAGCTGCATAGCTAATTAACTGATTATAATGATGAAGACTGACATTTTGAGGGGCAATAGATAAAGAGGAGTCAGTCATCCAGTCACAAGCTGATTAGCTACTGTGGACCAAACTTTCAAAATGTTGGTGCTGTTTTTTTCTTTACTCAACAGCATCACAATGCGCAAACTCTCTTTCAAAATATTTTTCATCACACTTGAGTACGGTGTAATATACTTAAAAAAAAAATAAAAATAAAGTTATAGAAGAACATAGGCTGTGAATGACGACTCAGCACACCCAAATATCATGTTAAATTTTTTTTCAGGTTTGATGAAATGAAAACAGGAAAAAGCTACGAACAAACGTAAAGTACAAACTACTAATAATGCTGAATGATGGTGAAACTTACTAATTACAGAAAGTGCAACAGCATGAGTTTGGACAGCATATTTACTTCTGTTTGAATCAAATATGGCATGTGCAAATCTTGCAGCATGTATCTCACTCACTGCAAAAAAAGTTTATTCAGTTTCTCAATCACTAATACTAACTGCCTGATATATTTCTTCCAGTTATATGTCAGTTTGTTAACTTTTTCTTCTCTGATATAACACCACACACATAGGTGTTTAGGAATGACAGAAAGGCCAATACACAGGCTATTTACTTAAAGGCCTTGTTGACCCAAATATAAAAAAGTTGCTCATTTACCTGTATGGCCGTGCAGCTACTTTTGGTTTAGAAGACTTCAGTCAATGTATGAAACAAATTTTATTTGTGGTGCTCACAGCATTGAAAAATTACATTGTAAAATCAGAAAAATCTCTTGGCCCCTTCCCCTGTTACTGGGGGTTTATACAAACACCTTGCTGTAAACAGTTTTCATCAGAGTACCTAGGACATTTGAGTTGTGGTATCATTTCACATTTCAAAATAATATGAATATTGAATTAAAAGACTGTGTGCTGCTGTACTGTCCTGTATCTAATGGAGTTTGCTGCAGCTGTCCCAAAACTGGGTTTTGCTGAGCTTGTGGGCATATGATTCAGCTGACACAAAGCAACACGAAAAGAACGTGTTGCCCATGTTGAAATGAGAAAAATACAAAATGCTTGATTTTGCAGATTGCAATGCAACAGATTACTGTTAAAGCACTGTTAAAGACAAACTGTACATACTCTGGTTAGTAGCAGTTTGTCTTTAACAGTGCTTTAACAGTAATCTGTTCAATCATATGCCCACAAGCAAGACACTTATTCTTGTCGCCGCTGTATAACCATCTGTACTTTGTTGGACTTAAATCTTCGCACTGACCTACACATAGGCACGAGTGCCCTGCTTGGGGCTACAGTAAAAGCCCCACCCCCACACACAAATGCTAGCAGGGGGCATGGATGTTCTCTCATCTGTTCAGAGAAACCTGAACACAACAGTGGGCCAAGTGGCCTAAAAATAAACCTCTTACACTCATCTTGAAGACTGGCATGCTGCTGTGTATCTGTGTGAGTGTGAACATGTATTACTCATGTTGTGGAGACATAAATGTGTATACACAGTCAATTTGTGCAGAGATGACAGAACGCGAGTTCCCCTTATGTAAAACATAACATTTTAAGACAGGTTAGGGTAAATAAAAAAGGGTCTCCAGGAAATGAATGTAGGTCAGTGTAATGTCCGCTGAGGTGATGGAAATGCCACTGTGTGTGTGTGTGTGTGTGTGTGTGTGTGTGTGTGTGTGTGTGTGTGTGTGTGTACGTGTGTGTGTCCGAGTGAGTGTACATGTGTGCTGGGTTGTGTGTTTGTGTGTATGCGTCTGCACTTCAGAACCATTTAGTGAAACTTTGAGTTATAGCTTTTCTGCAACAGTTAAAAGGTATTTGCAGATAAATCCTCCATGTTTGATTCAATCTCCTTAAAGGAGCATTTGAGTGTGACTCAGTTCATGATAAAAAATAAATAAAGATAATGATAGAAATAATACATCTAAAGTTCAACTCATTTTGCGCTGTAAGCAGATTAAAACAAATGCTAAGATTTGCAAGTATGCATTGACCCTGGTCTGTTGTGCGAACGGCTGTGTGGCTAAGCCGAGATGCATTGTGTTAAATTTGCCTTATGTTAGAGTTTGCATTCAGATGTAATCATTTATACTCCCGCTATCTTCCCACAGGGCATGTATATCAAATCAACATATGACGGTTTGCATGTAATCACCGGGACAACAGAAGGAGTAAGTACAAGCCTCTTTATGTTCACCTATATAGATTTTTCACATTCACATTTAGTGTAATATAGTGTATCAAGTATAATATAGTGAGTGAAGTGGCTGTATCACAGTAAGCTCTGTCCTGACAGTGAAATGGAGCAGAAATTAATGACTCTGCCTTTCTGTCCATCCATCAGTCCCTGGCTGACCGCTGTAAGAAAATCCATGCTGGAGACGAAGTCATTCAGGTCAATCTTCAGACAGTGGTAAGACCACATTGGCTTATTTAATGTGTTTTTCATATTTGCTCAGTTTGCACGTGATCTTTATTTTGCATTTTCAGATTGTTTATGTAACTGTCTGTTTAATTAATTCATGCTTGTTTGTATGCAGTTCCTTTATAGTTGCAATTCATTTCCTTTATATACATTTGTGTTGCACTGTCTTGCAGTTCATCCACAGTGGGCCACCGCAGCACTACTTGTTATTGTATAAGTGGCCGGCTGTAGTGCCTCTTATAGGTAGTTGGGCTGGATGGATATGTTACTTTGCTCGTCACAGGGTCAGTCGGATGGTCAGCTTAAATCACTGAAATCATGCTCACAAGAGCACTTCAGTCGATCAGGAGGTACCTGCTTAGGGCCCTTAACAGTCTGAATAAAAAACACCACTTTCAATGTGATTTCTGCTAGTAGCATTTAAACTCTGAGACACCCATGATGCACCCACACAGGTGTTTTTCCTTATTAGATAGACCTCTCCTGTGGACTGTGTGGCCATCAATGAACTGTGCTTGATTGATATCTCCCTCATATTCAAGTTGTGTTGAACCTGTTAGAGCGAGACCACTTACAAACGGAGTGTTTTTGGGCCACTTTTTATGCATTTATTAAAGATACACAATAGAGAGATAACAGGAAACAAAGAAAAGAGAGATGGGGAATGACATGCAGGCCCTTGGCTGGACCCAGCCACCAGGGCACTCCAAGTTTATCTTTCATATTTTGATGAAGGGGTTTGTTCACCAGCGGCGCAGTAGCCCAGTGGATAGCACTGTGGCCTCACAGCTAGAAGGTCCTTGGTTGTCCCAGGCCTTTCTGTGTGGAGTTTGCATTTTCTCCCTATGTGATCTCTCCGGATCTCTCCTCCAACCATAAAAAGACATGCAGGTACATTAATTGATGACTCTCACTGAGGTGTGAATGTGAGTGTGTATGGTTGTTTGTCTCTATGTGGCAGCCCTGTGATGAACTGGCTGCCTGTCTAGGGTCCACCACGTCCCCTCCCAGTGTCAGCTGGGATTAGCTCCAGCCCCACTGTGGTTTTAGATAATGGATGGTTTGGTGACCTCACATTATCCTCGTTTCTGCCCATCTTCAACCTGAGCAGAGCACAAATCAGAAAAAATAAACTGGCCTTTCACAGGTTTTTGCCGAGAGACAAAACCGCACAAATGGCCTGTTGCATGTACAGTGTACAAAACATAGTATAAATTCAGTGGAAATGAAAGCAAAAACTTCCAGTGGTGCACAATTTAAATATAGCACCCTTTTGTCTAAAATAATTGCTACTTGTGTGTGCAACAGCAAGACGTATGATAATTACACAGCTCAAGTCAGGTTCATTTCAGTCAGTCAACTCACCCGCTGAATGTAGCCATTTTTTCTGGAGAATAAGCACAAATACAGAGTTGATTTTGTTGTCAAGACTCTTTCATCTCACTGTGACGAGTAGTTTAAAGGCTGAGCAGGGAGGTGTCAGTGCATGCTCCTCATGGGGAACCAAAAGAAAAATACACTGCATCCCAACAGACATTTTGTTTGTGGCAGATGTTTTAACCTGTCATAGCAGGAATAGCACTGGTGTATTTAATTACATTAATGATGGCTCAGTAAGCCATGCATGCACAACATCAGGGTCCTGGAACTGAAACACCATGATATATGTTATTAATTACACCTATGCATTTCATAAAGCATTTTGCTTTCTTTTATAGTTTGACTGGTGCCCTCTTTTCAAAGTTGCAGCTTGATTGATGTCTGTCGGAACATGTCTTGTATCATCAAATGTTAGTACAAAACAGTAATGGGCATTAAACTCTTGTATACTAGTTGGATAAACTGTATAAAGTGAAGAGTATTGTGTTGTTACAAAGTTCACAAGTGGATGCTGGGGAAGTGGTGGTGAAGGAAAGATGCCAAAATGAGCAGCAGCTGAATGACAGCTTAAGTGGGTGATGGCAATATGTAAAGTCACTTGTCATGTCTGCTGAGCCAAAACTGCACTGTCACTCATAATGACTGCCAAGGCAAGGTTAAATACTGTTAATACATTTAATTTAGTTTATCAAAGAACAAATTTGTGGTGGTTGGTTGTTCGTGAACATCCTGAGCATCCTGTGTGTGTGTGAGGTGGGGGGGTACTGCAGTGAAACTGAACTACATGTGTCTGTGGTGACCCAGGATTTCTTTCACCATCTCTTCTCACAAGAAGATAAGCAACCAGAGGGGAAAGGTAATGAAAGGGTCTTAACAGAAAAGTAAGGGGAAAAAAATTCGGCCCTAAAGGCAATAGAACAAATGACAAAGCTTTAAAAAAACAAGACTAAGGAAAGAAGAGACGCTTGAAACATTTCACGGATTTATAATTAAGGCAGCTGTGAGAGGTCCAGCAGTATCACACAGACCAAAGTTCACTGGATTTGAGCGTCCTTTTCCATGAAAGCAGATGTAAGAATGGCTGCTTAGGCAAATGAGTTACATCAACCAAAGTAAATGAATGAAGGAAATATCCACAGCAAAATCTGCCTTGTGATTAACTTTGACACACACATGTAGAATAAGCAAAAGAAATCTCATATAATGTGGTGCTATTGAGCACAAGATTGAAAGGCTATAAAAACAACAGCATGCAGAAATAAATAACTCCAGGGACCAGTGATAGATTCAATTTCAGGTGCAGGAATGGTCAATAAATAGGGAAGCCTTCAAACACATAAACAAGGTGCATGCAGGACAGTAAATTTTTACACTGGAGAGTTACAAGAATCCCCTAAAGGAAACAAAACAAAAAGAAGAAACCGGTGGCAAGATATTTTTTAAGAAACACCTTGAAGCAGAAAGGCAGAGCAGTAGATATTTAAAAAAAAGCTAAAAATGTGGGGTTTCACTGCTTTAAATGAACAATTCTTTTGGCCAGACACAGCAAAACAATCTTTTTTATCATGGAATAAAGCAGGTTTGAATGATAAAAGTTTCTGTTTCAGCCTGTCTGTCTCTTTAATGTACTTTCTGTGTGAAGAATGTCTGTGTAGTGGCAGTCAATGTGAAAAAATGGGTTGGAAAGGAACAAAGTGATTGCTAGGTCAGTGCTTGAAAAATGCACGGTTTCTCAGGCTGCTTGGAATACGCACAATGTACTGAAATTCTGTGCAGCCAGCCAAGCAAGCGGGGATATTTTCTCCCCAAACTGGACCTGGCATATTTGGTTCAGCTGCAGACAGTGTTTCTCTGGGCAGGATGTTCTTTGTGCCAAATGTCATCAAAACTGGGTTAAAGTATTTACGAGGCATGCAGCTGTTTGCAGCACAAAACATCGGGGCTCACCACATCATGACAGCGTCCGCAGATTGATATCACGGGAGGAGTACAAGATGTCCTTTGACATCCAACTTTGCGTTAACATTCTCATCAACTTGAACCTCATAGGCTGCAGGCTGTGCTGCAGTTTCCAACCATCAGGATGCACGTGTATAATTAAAAAAATGACCATAACATCACCTTGAATAGCATGCTTGCGTGGCAAGCTGAACTTTGTCATAAAGGAAACACATAACCTGGATGTACGTTGAGTCATGTGACTACCTGTGTGTTGAGGAAACGCATATCATGCTGTTGTTTGCTAGGTGGGCTGGCAACTGAAGAACTTGGTGAACTTGCTGCGGGGGGACCCTGCTGGTGTCACCCTGACTCTGAAGAAACGCCCACAGAGTACGCTCACCTCCACCCCTGCACTGCTCAAGAACATGCGATGGAAACCGTTGGCTCTGCAAGTACGATGACTGCTTTCATCCTCCACAGATATGTTTGTGCATGGCCGTTTGTGCGTAGATATCTATTTGTTTGTGTATATCTCTGTGCTTCTGTCTGCACTGACTGCACAGACTCCGGACACTAAAACGAACACCAAAATCCCTGTATCAGCCCATAAATAACCAAGTGAGGTTGAATTAAAGTATCACTTTTACAGCAGGATGTAGTTTAATACAAGAGCAATGAAAGAAACAACAGCTTTGAATGACTTCTAATGTTTAAGCTTTACCAAATGTATTGTGCAAGTATTGCTTTTATTGCATCCACCTTCTTTCTGTACCACAACTTGCTACAAATTTGTCGAAGGTTCCAGCATCATTCATTCACAAGTTAATATTTCAGCCCTTAGTGGCATCTGTTGTCCTAGTTCGGCCAAACCATTATTAGGATTGTGTGCCTGAGCCAGAATGGGTGGAAATAAGAGGGATGCTTATTAATGTAGCCCAGCCTTTCTTTGAGTACCAGGCCAGAGAAAAGAATGCCCCCCCCCCTCCCCCGAGGCCCTGAAGCGCAGTCCTGCTCAGCCTCCTCCCTCTTCACATTGCATCCTCATACTTCTTCTTCTCCTCCTAAATCGAATTTTCTCTCCTGCTGGCATTTTTAAGGAAAGAAAAAGGAACATGTTACGTTAAAAGGAAACTGTTATGTTTTCTACTAAAATTAAGAGTGTCAAGGTAGTCAGCTAAGTTATTGAAGAGCACATTGTGCTGTGGAAGCCCTGCAGTAGTTCTGACACACATAATGGTTTTGGACACATCTCCCGATAATACATCTCTGATATTAGTCAGCTGCGAGTTATGCAACATATTAGCATAGTTTGAGCAGTGACAAATTAGTATTCTGTTGTTGAAAGGATTTCAGTTCAGCACTCCGAAGAGTTTTTTGGAAGTCTGTTTTATCACTGCAAAACAGGACTCAACTGTGATTGGATTGCATGATGTTGATGATGTCATGTTGATGATTTTGCAGCCTCTTATTTTTTAGACAGTAAATGTGACAAGTGGGTAATTAAAATGATACTACACACATCTTGTTATAAAGTTAATAGATAAACAAGGAGCAATCTAGCTCCCATGTACTTACTGTGTTTAACAGACTATGTAGGCTATGACCAGAATTTCCTTGACCTGAATGAGAGAGATGACTAGACTGCACACCGACCCGTCTTCCTCTGTGCGCCACTTAGAACTGGAGCATCAGAGACATAACAGTATAGCTGCTCATTTCACGGTTGAGATGCTCAGCAGCGTAGTCTGAACCGAACAAATGGTCCCTGACTGACTAACTGACTGAACTGCTGCAAACTCCAAATTTTCAATGTGTCAATCCCTGTAACTGTTCCTCTCTCTCTCTTGCTCTCTGTCCACCTGTCTCTCTCTCTCTCTTTCACACACGCCACATTACACACACGCTCACTCACACACAGCCAATCTTCCCTCAGAGCCCCACCAGCAGTGTCGCCACGCCCACCAGCACTTTAAGTACGCCATCTAGGAGGAGTAGCTGTGCCCTGCAGGACCTCTACATCCCCCCTCCTCCACCAGAACCCTACACCCCCAGGTGAACACACACATGAAAACACATAGAAGTTTACACATAGTGCTTGCTTTACCAAATATTTTTTTATTTAAACTTATAAAAGAAACATACAAGGTTGATGTGATAGTAAGAAAATAAATGCATATATATAAATAAATAATATGATAATCCAAATATATATAAAAGCAAATATTATATATATATATATATATATATATATATATATATATATATATATATATATATATATGGCTTTTCAAGTGTTTTATGAGGAGGGAAGCCCATTCAGCACATTTGTTACGCATGGCTGTAGAGTCTTAGTCACCGTAAAGTAAAAGACTAAAACTATAACTTCCAGTCTTGTAATATTCTGTATTTTTCTTATTTATAAGACTTACTAATATATTTACCAACTGGCAATAAGTATTTTCTAAGTAGCCAGGGCCTGATATAGCTTATTCCTCTGTGCCATAGAGCTCCATTATTGTCGAAATACATCAGTGAGTCACAGACTGGCTGAAGTGAGAGAGTATTGAGAGACGGACTTATGCATTGTTGGTCTTTTCATGGAACAAATTTTTTTTTCCTTCTCGTTTTTGACAGTTTACATGCTGATGAAGTTTTCACTCTACAATACACTCTGATGGTGGCAACTCTTCTTCTTTTCTCTCATACTAGTCCAGTTCTTAACTGGCATTAAAATTACTACCTGCTTTCCGTTACTGCAGAGATGACAAGGGAAGTCTGCCGGGTGACGATCCTCAAGCGGACGTCCATGTTGCCGAGGGATCCGAGTCACCAAACTCCTACCTGGACCAGGAGTGTCGGGGGCGATTTCCTCTGGTGGAGGAAGATTCTATACTATACTGTTACGAGTATGACCAGAACCAAGAGGTGTCCTCAGTCCGCAGGGGGAGCACTCCCACCTATGGTAAGACCTTGGCCTCCTCTGAAGACTTGCTGCTGCAGTCGTGAGAGCCAGGAGCTCAAAGCCCTGCGAGTGTGACGTATGTGTGGTCTTGAATTGTTTTTGTGATGTCTGTAGCTGTTTGATGTACGCTCGTGTGTATGTTTGGAGGGGGGCGGGGGGCTGTGTAATATTGACGTTCCCCGTGCCTCCTCGCTTCAGGCAGGCTCAGGCCCATCTCAATGCCGGTGGAATACAACTGGGTGGGAGACAACGAAGACCTGGCCAAGCTGAAGAGAGAGAGCAGGAGAGGTGAGTGGGAGGCAGTGGGAGAGAGAAAAAGAAAGGGAGGCAGAGAAAGGAGGGAGACAGAGAGGGACAGAGGGAGCTGAGGTGAGTGGGCGGATATCTCATAATATCCTCACCCTCTCAGATCTCCGAGCCAAGAAATAGAAGGATGAGCTGGCCTGTCAAAACTGATAACATGCTCGATATCAGTTTATGCCTCTATCTCCTCCATATGTTCATAATATATCACTGCTCCTTTTTTCCCCTCCATTCCGCTCTCCCTGTTCCTCTCTTCCTCTCTCTGTGCTTGCTCTGTCTGGATATAAACAGTGCTCTGTTGCTTTGGCAACTGTAGAAATATATCCAGAGATTTTCACATTTTGTTGGTGACTGTTGAGCTAGGTGGCAAATGGAGTGGGAGGAGACTGAATTACTTTATTTCAGTCTCAAAGAAAGATTTGAGTGATGTGTTTGTTTCCTCTGGGGATGGTGGTGATATGTTGCTCCTTTGGGCTTATCATAAAAAAAAGTGATGGTGCTATATTTATCTACAAGAGACAGTATTTGGAGAAGTATTTGGAGTTTTGATCGCTTCCTGCCTGACAACAGCCCTCCTCTGTAGATTTTTAATGCCTTTAAAATAGGTAGTCTTTTGAAATGCCAGCATTCACTGATTACAGAGAAAGAGATAGCTAAATCACAGGCAACTGGCTGGTCTTACAGTAGAATACAAAAAAGTTTGATCAGTGTTGAGACATTAACTGTTAGCAACTAATATGTGGTCCATAGTCTTACTTGACTAAGTTAAATGAGCTTACTGAAATTGTGCAGAATCTTAATATTCAGAACTGTACAGAGCATTGGGATGTAAATTATAGATTTTTAAAGTTTAATTTCGTAAAGTATGTGCAGTACTGAATTTGCCTCTGTTGTGTCCCGGCAGAGAATTCCCTGCTGCGCTTTGCGAGTGAAGATAAAGCCCCGGGGGAGGACTTCCTGCTAGGACGCAGCCTGAGTCAGAACAGGAGGAAAACTGAGCGAGGAGGCAGCCCCACTCATTACACACTCGTCCCCGCCCTCCAGATGGAAGTCTCCCTGTCCACATCCAGCTCTGACTCTGCCTCCCTGTACCATGTTAGTCCTTTGTGTCTGTGTAAATTCAAATATTATACACTGTAGAAGCAGGAGCATTTAGCTGCACTGGAATCCTCTGCATGTTGTCATTCTTTTTTACTTTGTAGGTGTTTGAACGATCCTCACTGCTGTCAAGGTCAAAGAAGAAGAGCAAAGGTAAGAGCATTTGTTTTTGGCGTTTACTTAAGCGCACACATGTACTCAAACCCAAACATGAGCAGGTGTTTCACCAGGAGTGTTTCTGACCCCCCCTGGTCTCTTCTGCTCCCCTGCTGGTGCCTGTAGCTGGAAGTCCCATGTCTTCAATCAGCAAGCGGCGGATTTCCTGCAGGGACTTGGGTCAGGGGGACTGTGAGGGCTGGCTGTGGAAAAAGAAGGATGCTAAAACCTATTTCTCACAGAAGTGGAAGAAGTACTGGTTCATCCTGAAAGACACGTGCCTCTATTGGTACATGAATGAGGAGGTGAATTTGGTGATTTTTACAGCATTAAGCCTCTATTTATTATGTGCCACTTTGATTTAAATCTCCTTTGGCTTCTTTACAGGATGAGAAGGCTGAGGGCTTTGTCAGCCTCCCAGAGTTCAAGATTGATCGTGCCACTGAATGCAGAAGGAAGTTGTGAGTATTGATTTTCACCTGAACACCAAGGATCAAGCTTCTTATTGCAGATTTGCATTACTTCCATAAAATCTGACAAAACAATATAGACATTTGTTGAATACAATCCACAAAGCCAACAGCAGAGACTTCATGTTGCATATTAAGATACAATCCTACAAATGTATTATCATGCAAAGGTTATCTTGAGCAAACTGATTCTTGGCAGAAAAAGAGGCATATATATTGAATAACAATTTACAGAGGATGCCTGACTTAAGAACAATATGCACTTCCAATTTCAACCAACAACATTTTAGTATGCTGTCAGGAGGACAGCGGATGCATACATGTATGGCTTAGTGTGTAGATCACATTTTATCAGTGCTATTTGAGCAGTATCTAGAGGGAGGGCAGATCATTTGTTGTGTATGAGGATGGAGAAGGTGTAGTAGGATGGTTGTAATTACCATAGATGAAAGAGTGAGACACTTCACTTGTGCTACATTTTAGGAAAAAGGTCTAAGATAAAGAGAGTGAAAGAACTTTTAAACAGGAGTAGTACATAACTACTTTCCCTGGCTGTATAGTTGTGGCCTGAAGGAGTTAATGGTGCCCTGTGGAGTTTTCTTCTAAACAAACTAAAGTTAGACATTTCCTTCCTTGTAAAACATTTGCAAAGCTGATTTTAAAAAAGTATTTTAAATCCAGCTTTGTTTACATCCTCTAGTCTTCTTTTTTTCTTGTTTTGCTGGTGCATTGCTGCATATCACGGCTTGTGGTGGTGTATCTTGCACGATACAAACAAACGCTACTAGAGGTAAAAAAAAAGTTAGAACATGGAAGGATGGTTAAAGGAAGCCTAATCTTTATGCTTTTAAACATTCAGTTTCAAGGAACCAGAGAACCTTCTTGCAAGTCCCACATAGGCAGTTCAATACAGTTCAAATAATGAATGTGCTACTTTATACTTTACGAATGTGTACTTTGTGGCAAATAGCTGTTAGCATTTGTGACAAGTCTGTTGTTCACTAATGATGCCAGCAAATTAGGACGTTTTGAAAAGTAATATGAGTTCACTGTGTTTCCTACTTATGGCTTACCTTCATATATGTTCCTTACTCATGTTAATCAACTTCTGGAGGCAGGATTGTGTTTGCACACACGCTTAATGAAACAGACTCAGACTTTTGTACAGCTCCCAAAAATTAGCAGAACAGTTTATCTTGTGATGAAAAGTCATGCTGTTTTTGTGTCATTCTGAATTACTGTATCTCTGCCAGTTTATCTCAGCAGTCTTCAGCATTCATATGTTTAGGTGTGCTATATGTCCCCTTTCCCGTGCTTACATGTGATTAGATATACTCTCGGCTCCCTTTCAGTGCTTTCAAGGCTTGCCATCCGAAGATAAAGACCTTCTACTTTGCCGCGGAAAATGTAGACGACATGTCCCGGTGAGTTAATGATGCTGTGATAGTCATGCTGTAAACTCCCTAAATCCCCCCCGCTGGCCGGAAATTGAATCCCCTATACTGGACTGCCCACTCTCCTTGAAACAGAGCAGTTTTTTAAGGGAAAAGCACAAGGTGTTTTACTGGATGTCAAGCTGCTGTGCGTCATGACTGTTATTCTCCCCCACAGGTGGCTGAGTCGTCTCAGCATGGCAGTGGCAGGCTACTCTGAGCAAGAGAAAATTCGCCGTGACCAAGGTGTGATTAGTCACAGACTCTGTTCATGGTGCTGAAAAGGATTCTTCATCTGTTGTTATAGGTCACTGGGCAGTTACATAAAACTGTTGACATTAAGCAGTAGCACATCACCTTACTTTTACACTGACAAATCATGTAGCAATGACCAATGCAGGGATAATTATTTTCCCTTGTGGTCACTAGTTTCAAAGCAGTCATTTTCCATCACAGTGTTATTTAGGGATAGGAAATAAATATGCAATTGAATTGCTTAAATTATATCCTTGGATCATCTTGTGTGATTTGATGCAATAACCTGGAAAAACCTGATGGAGAGAATTTTATAAATGGATCTTATTTCTAGATCAGTGGCAGAGGCTTTTTTAACACCTCTTCCCGGTTTCACTTCACATCTGATTCAAGCATCTCTGCTTTGGCAGAAATGCTAATTTTAGGGGCTGAAGGCGTGCTTGTTATTTTCATATTCTGGTATTCTTTGGCTTCTTAAAAATGGACAGGAAATAATGTAACTAACCTTTGTGCTATTTAGAGGAGCCTATGTAGAAGCCTTGCAAAGGTGGGTGGGTGAGATTAAGTTTGTCCTTGGTTTTATGAAGAGGGGGCTTCAGCCGTCACAGACAAGTTGCTAAATCAGATCCTTAACACCTCCAGAAGACTTAACAGGAAGCTCTCACATCTTAGATGCATACTTCTGCACACTCAACAGTAGTCAGACCTGGACTTGCATCGCACCTACACCACGCAGACACTGCAGCTACACCTTTCAAAACACTCATCCAAAGGCATAGATCTTTCTGACCTGATGCAGTTCTGAAGATAAATCTATTTTAAACTGTACATGTTGATGACCAGGTTTAAAGTCTCATAAACAATGGTGAGCCTCAATTTAAACTGGTCTAAATGCTTTTTTTCTCTTAAATATAAATATATGACAGATTACTGGAGTGAGAGCGATCATGAGGACATGGAAATGCCCCCGAGGCCCAAACAAGACAGTCCACCACCACCTTATGACACCTTTCCCAGAGCGTCCTCCGTGAGTCTGTCAGCCTGTAGTTTAATAGAAAGACACCACTCCAAGTAGAAAACGTTTTTACTCGCTAACTATCTGTTTTTGTTTAGGTGAGTCCCTACCTGGAACCGAAACGTGGCCATCTCTCCTCCTCCGACACATTCCAGTCCCGCTCCTCTCATGAGGAGTTCCACTCTGAGCCTCAGGACGGCAGCAGCAGCAACAACGGCGTCTCCTCCGGAAAGACGACCAGCCACCGAAATTCATGGCATGATCAGATGGAGAGCAGCACGAGGATGCACTATCTCCAGACATTTCCCGTGGAGGAGACCCTGCTGTCTGCGGACAGAGACCACCTGGCGATGGAGTACCGGAGGCAGTCTACCCTGCCTGCACAGCGCAGCCTGCTGCAAGAACAGTACAGAGCCCTGCCTCTGCCCCTCAGGGCCAGTATTGAGTCAGAAGGGGGAGGGAAACCACGCAGCTTCACGCTACCCAGAGACAGCGGGCTACATGCTATCCTGGCCGCCACCGCTGCTGATCAGAGAGAGCCCCAGCACTACCAGCTGGACCGGGCCGGAGACACTGGTCAGATACACAGAATCTGTGTTTTGCATCTTTTCACATCTACCACAAGTATAGCCATTTCAGGCATACAGTGCAATACATTGGATCACACTAGAACTTAAACAATCAGTTAACTAATCAAATAGTAACTATTTGATTAGTTAACTGATTGTTTAAGCTGATAGTAAATTAATTGACAACAATTTTGATGATAAATTATACATTTTAGTTGTTTACCCAAAAAATCTGGTCATGGGGATTTTTTCTGACTATAGGAGACATTGATAACCATCAGAAAATGTATACAAATGATTTGCAACACACATAATGATGGGAGCTTTTATTTCTATTTTAGGCCAGAAATACGCTCACACTGCAAATTTTTGGGAGCTGTACGAAAGTTTCTGAGAAAACAAAGTCTAAACTTGGACAACTCTACTATCACTATGCCTTGTATTGAAACATAAGTGTGTAATATCCACTTTTATATAATCAACCTTGTTAAATAACATCTAGTTAAAAATCTATTCAGATGAACACATTTGAAACGCGATGTGTGGTGTCGGCGAAGGGGTGCTTGAGCTAATCTGACAGGGTTGTGAGGGAACCACTGCAGCAGCACATTAGAGATCACAGGTATCACACACTCAGCAATATAACTGAGGTCATCCTGGAGTCACCAAATGTAGGCACCTCTCCTATTACATGCAGGTCAGTCTTTTCATCTGCATAGCATTGAGCAAGTGTGCTTACTTGTCGCCAGTTATTATTAAAGCTGTTAACAGGCAGTCAGAGCCAGCAAATGTCAGAGGTAGAATACTCTCTATTATTGCTTTATTGGACTGGATTTGAAGCCAGCCCATTTGCCGTCCCTCAAAGACCTCCAGGGCAATTGTCTAAGTGAGATGAAATTTAGTGTCTTATTTGATAGTGATTTATCTTGGCAGTCCATTCTCTCTCACACACACTCACACTCACGCTCACTCTTTCTCTTTTCTTTTCTCTCTTTGGCCCGATCGAGATGTCATTTTACCTCTCGGCAGTGTTTGAACGATGAAGCGAGGAGGAATCCTTTCAGCCCATGTTAATGTTGAATTCTGAAGAGGATAAAGAAACACGCCTAAGGGTCGCCTTCTTGTCCTCATTTATCTATCGCTGTACTGTTCACTCTCTCCACCACTGCCCGGAAAGACAAGAAAGAAACACAAAACAGGCGGCAAATAAAGCACGATACATTTCAAAGCACAGCCCCAAAGCTTCAGAAAGCACCACCCCACTTTCAAAACACAAAATAGAGTGATGACTAACAGATTCAGAGCTCTAATGTAGTGTTAGCATCATGCCAACAGAGGGCAGTGTATGTAAACAGTAGACATGGAGGTCCTGGTAGTTTATTAGAATGATTTGTTAGCTGTGCACCCAGCAGTGCAGGGCTGAGGCCAATTTACCTTAAAGACAATATCATAAAGAAGAGATATACCACAGAATGATGTATTAAAAAGAAGAACCAGCAACATGCTGTCTGGTAGTCTGTGAATAAAACCATATAAACATTATCTGAGTAAACAGGAGAGCACACAGATTACTTTCGTATACTGCAAAAAATGTGTTATAACAACACAAATAGTAGAAGGAAATATAGGGAAATGGGAATTATACTTCAGGCGCAAATTGAGCTTCCATGACTAAAACATGGGGAACTTTAATATAATGTTTATGTATAATTTAACCTTACCGAGGAACCTAAAATTCATCTTCTTTTAATTTTCTAACTAAAGGGTAACATAAATTACAAAAACACTTCCATTTGCAGTTAGTTTTGATTTTATTTGCTGAGGCTTTGAGATATCTTCAAGCTTTTGCAATAAGACTTGTATATAACTAAATATTTCATTCCCATCTGTGTCACCTTAGCAAGCAGTGATATGCCACCAGTTGTAGAAGGTATATTTACTCAAGTACCGTACTTGTACATTGTACAAATGTACAAAAAATTTACAAATGTTTACAAAAGATTGTTTTTAACAGTTAAGATTTTGCACACAAAACATAAGAGCTTAAAAAACATGATCCATTGTTATAGATGAAACTACCAAACAGTGTATGAAATTAGAGTTTAAATGATTAAAATTGATTATTGTTTGACAGAAATGTTCGACTATTTCAATAACTGGGTAATCAAATTAAGCTAAGAATTTCATGGTTCCAGCTTCTCAAAAGGGAGGATTATCTAAATTTGTGGTTTGACTGTTGGTCAGACGGAACAAGCAATTTGAAGGTGTCACTTTGGTTCTTGGTAGCTGTGATGGCATTTCTCATTATTTTTTGTTAAATTTTAAAAACCAAACAATTAATCGATATGTAGAGAAATTAAACAGAATAATCCATGTAATCATATCAACCATATAATAATAATCTAATGATTTATGCCATTGCCATTTTTTGGCATTGATTATACTTTTATACAATAAACTAACCATTTCCTGGTTATAGTTACATACTTCTACTTAAGTAACGTTTGTCAGTGCTGGACTTTTACTTTTACTTGAGTATTTTTACAGTGCGTTAGACAATCTGGATACTCCATCCACAACAGTATGAAACACACGGACTTCATCTCAGTCTTTGCATGTGGCCCTGAAATCACTAAAACTGGGGCCCCAGGGGTAAATGCATTTGTCTTTGTGGTGCTCATAGCATGAGCAGCGACATTTCTTTCCAGAAAAAATGTCTGACCTCGCTGTCAACTTGCTATATTTTTAAGTCCCTTTAGCTTCAGCTCTGTGCCATTTCATGCTGGGCAGGTAGCATTCAATCGGCTTGTGTGAATGCATGTGGGCGGAGAGAGGCTGCCTGCAGTTTCATATGGTAGAGTGGCGAAAGATTCACTGCTAAAATGATTTAGCTAAAGTTTATATCTCTGAAGGGTGTTCAGTAAAAAAAAAAGAGAGAATATAGAAGAATTCCCTGTATGCTATGTTTACACCTTAAATCTCAGTTCAATTTAATGTAAAATCTTTCTTGATGATTGCTTGTCCTTCTTGCCAGGCCATGGACGGGACTGCAGGATGCAGGCAGACTCTCTGGGAGATTTGTACCGGGCTCTGGAGCAGACCAGTCTGTCCACCTCAGCTGATCACAGATCAGCCAGCCGCCTGGAGTACAAGCGCTCATTTGTCCGCCGAGTGAATGACCCGCTGCTCAATGACAAGCTTCATCGTCTCCGGATCCTCCATAGTTCACTTAAGGTATAACAACATGTTTTGAGCATGCATGTCTTTCTAACAATGTGTGGTTTATTGGCTAACTACTAATCCATACCTTCCCCTCCTTACAGAATGTCCCTTTTCAAGACACAAACCGGTCATTGGGTTTTTTAGGGTGAAGATTGGTGTGTTGATTAAATCTCAAATGTATTGCCTATGCCTGTGCTTCACACAGCCGGCATCCCTCTGCTAGAGATAAAAGGCACCAAAAACCTTCTTTTACCTGCTCAGCTCTACACCTTCTTCCCTGCTGCTGCTCCTTCAACCTCGCTCACCGTCCAGGAGCACAAAGACTTGGTGTCCGTTCCCGTCCAGTCTCTCTCTTTACAAGATGAGGGTTGTTTCAAATGGTGAATAAAGATGCTTGGCTTGATATAATAACTCGTAGACTCACAGGGTTTACGACATGTAAGCACTTTGCATCTGTGTCCAAAACTTGTCAGAGAGCTTTGTAGTTCATCGCTCACATGCATGGCCACCTCCCCTTGCTTCTGTTTAATCGTTTTGAACATTACCACTGGAGTTGTGTACAGCCGCTCAGTAAGGATGACTGAGGCATTAAAAGCAAAGCTATTTTGGATGTACACAACATTTTATTATGCATGTGTGTATGATTAAAGGGTATGTTTGTTCTACGAGTGTACAGGGTGTTAAGTATATATACATATATATATTTAATATTACGTTACTTCAATAACAGTGACTACACAATGTTTTGGGGTACTTATACAAATTGTAAATCAAGTGCTGTGCCTCAGTGATTGTGAATGTACATTGTACTTTTCCAAGAGAGACGAGAGAAGATATAGAAAGCTATTCCTCAAAACAGGGGCACAAGAATTTAACGCTTGGCAATAATGAACTAGTATTGTAAATTACAAAGGAATGATCAGAGTAGTTGTCTATTTTTGTATGCATGCTGTCAACCTAATTGTTTGTAAAACAGTTTTGTATTTCTAAGTGCGTTTGACAGAGTCCCGGTGTCGACCCTCCCACCGCTAAGTTGTGTTTTTAAGACTTATTTTTTGCCCCAGAATACTGCAGACATTGCAGGTGTTACCACAAAAAGAGGAATAACTGTATTTATTAAGTGTTTAATGTACAAGCATGCTTTGCATCACTAAAACACATTACCATGCCATTGGAAATTGACTGACATTGCACAAGTGTGCCACATTGTAGCTAAAGTACTTTTTTATTGAATAAAGGATGGCATGGGAACATGTAAAAGCCATTGTTATATGTTTTATTCTCATTATCACATTTTAGATGTCTATCTGATGTTGACACTCATACCAGGGAGCCCAACACAGGTTGACTCAGAGGATGATAATAATATGCAAATAAAACACACATATACACACAGTGTATATGCAGCCTCACATTTTTATTATGTAGGATATGGTAAAATAAATAATTAACAAAGAATAACACAGAAGATACAGTGTATACACATATTTAATATGTCCAAAAACACAGAGTAAACCTGTCAGGGTGAAAAAGGAATAACTCCATACTGGTTTAAGCTACTGACAGCTGTAGATAACTTTCTGCAGTCCTGTAAGGTAAGGTTCACTCCAGATACAAAAAGGCAAAGGTCTGAAGAGTATAAACTGAAGAAAGTTATGTGACCAGGAAGGAAGGCATTTCAAAGCTGGAGAAACCTCCGATATTTGAAATTTGGGGGGCAGAGTTTCTGAGGGACCACTGGAAGGGGGGGAGCTGCTATATGTTTTAGCAGTTTAGCACACAATCTGTGTGCAGAATCAATTACTTTCCCTCTGATTTCAAACTTTCAATAGACCAAGAGGAGGCAAAACGAAGAATGGAATAATGAGTGTAAAATCTCAAGCAGTGACTGGAATGTTTATTCTTTGTTAATTGAAGCGAATGATACAAAAAACTTCTGCATACAATTATATTGTAATTGTTATACCTTATATTGGATTACGTATGAATGGTTCATTTGCAAAGATAGACAGCTCAGTTTTTAGTGTGCACACAAACTGTTGTTGGGATATCAAAAACACATTACTTATTACAATACGTTATTTCATGTAGAGTGTATGTCAAAAGTCAAGGAGGATAACATACACTGTATTACAAATGTATTATTCATGATCTAAAGTTTAAACATAAACATTGCCATAACCAAAACAACTGCATTAATCATTTTTGAATTTATTTGAAACAGAAAACATTGGATGAACCATTACAAAATAATGGTCACATTAGAGTTTGCACAGCAGGTGACATGTGAAACAAATGTGTGTTTTAAAGCTCCAATGAATTTTCTTCAAACCAAAAAGAAAAAAAAATAGTAAACACTCTAAAATGTCTTTACATTCCTGTGTTATAATCCGACTGAATCTGATTGGAATTCACTACATTATGTGCAGAAAGCCTGAGCATTAGCCTGCTAATGCTTCAGAAATTCAACACTGCAATGTCACTTTGAATGTGCAATAAAAACAGCCCTCTTGGCTACATTATTTGTTACTTGCCTGCTTTTTCTGTTGAAAAGCCTAAACAGTTGTACCCTTATGACTTTAATGCTCAAACCATAGACTGCTGGATTAAGAATGGGTGGGAAAATCAAAAAGTATAGAGATAAAAACAACTTGGTTGGGTAGGGCAAGTGACTAATGTTGAATCGACTTTGTGCTATTTCAAAAAAGCACCCGATGGAGTAGTTTATTACTGCTAGTAGGTGAGGGGTGCAGGTCCGGAGGGCTTTGGCCTTGGATTTGCTGAATGACCTTACACATATCCTCAGGATATGTGCGTATGAATAACAGATCATGGCCAGCTGTGGAAGTGTATATATAGCTACAGATAGTAGGCCAACTATGTTAACAATAGATGTATCTGTACAGGCAAGTTTCACCAGAATGTAACTGAAACAGTATACCTTTTCAATAGTTCTTTCGCAAAACTGAAGCTGAAGAGTGAAAATGAAAACAATGAGAAATGCCAGCATGGGGTAAAGCCACGTAAAGACAATAAGTTTTACAACTTTCTGTGACATGATTTCATAATAAAGCAGTGGATGACAAATGGCTACATACCTATCATAACTCATCGCTGCTAGAATTGTGAATTCAATGAAGGCATATGTGTGTAAAGCATAGATCTGTGTCTGACAAAACGGTAGAGATATCTCAAATGATTGTGACAGCAGGTTGCTCAGTACTGCTGGCATTAAAGCAGTGCTTCCATACAGACCATTCACAGCCAGGTTACATAGTAACAAATACATGGGCTCATGCAGAGTTTTTTCACAATATACCACTCCTATTAACAGAACATTTTCAGCAACAATGGTTATATAAATAATCAGGAAGATGCAAAAATAAATTGGCTTCAGGTCTTTCATTCCATAGTAATCAGATAGATAAAAAGATGTCACATAAGAGAAATTTGTCATGCTGACAAATGAATCATAAAGCATCTAAATACTCCAGAACATACATTACAATATTGCACTCAACAATCTGAGATGAAAAGTTTTACCTTAGCTTGCAGTCCCCCTCCTCCACCCGCACTTAACTGCACTGAATCGCTTTTATACTCTTTATATTTCTTCTCCTGTGAAATGAAGTCATGTGGTCTTACCTATGTGCCAATGATTTCTTTTGTTAAATCCTGTAATTCAAACACATGGGGTGAGGGCGTGGTAGCATGAATTGGTTTAGTTTATGCATATAAACAAATAAAAATAATTGATAAACTAAAAGCATAGGTTTTCTATTCTCCTGTATTTTTTCAGGTATGTACTACAGGTCAATTGAACTTGACAGTGTATGGAAATATTAACGTATCAACACGAACACTTCCAACTGACAGGAAATCTCAGTGTTCATTAAGGCATATATCCAGAGGTACCCTGACATTGCTATTTAACAGTGGTAAAGTTCGATGATAATTTATATAGTCGTTTCCTCATCACTCATTAACAGTTGATGTTACCTAATCCACAGGAGAGCTGAGAGTGTTGCCATGGGCGCCGTATAGGGGGGAAAAGTTAGGACAATTCCTATTATAATTCCTTATATTATACATTATATAAACCATCATCATTGAGCATAAATATATTTCAAATATAATAATAAAATTAATGACCTCAAATCTGGTTTTCAAAAAAGGAAAGGATGTCAATCTGTGACCCAGTTTTTCACCTAGAAAGGTGGGCGGCCTTTAGTCTGTGAGTGGTGTTAACCTGTTGGCTTAATGTCCACAGTGAAATAAGCTAGCTAGCTACAGACTAGTGTTAGCCTACATTTTAATATTGATATTCATATTAAATCATTGTCCCTGCCCCTGTTAGCAGACTAACAACAGATGAGTCAGCAGCAGCCCAGTCTCCCCATAACTGTAGCCTCTTTGTCCCAGTGAAGAAGGTGAGCAGCACTGTGTTAATGAGTTAGCATCATTCCAGGGAGGCTGTGGGGATTTCTCTGACTCTCTTGCTCTTTTTACCATAACAAAAAAAGACAATGAAATATTTCTTAAAGACAGAAATTCAAACGCAAATTATTTTCTCACATAATGATCATTATGAAATAAATACAACTTAAAAAAAATCTTCCTGTCTGTACTGGATGCTGGACAGCAGCTTACCTCAGCCTGCATTGTAGTTATAGACTATATAAAATATATAAAATAATCCAGTTTGATATGTTCATTTAGATTGAGTTATGGCCACTAATGATACCTATAGAAACAGACTTTATTATCCCATCATGAAGGGCAGTTTATTTGAGAAGCAAATAGTGAACTGCATCCTGTATGCACACTTGCATGTACAAATCACCAGCAGTAAATATTGTGCTAGTACTAATATTGAACTACAAGAAGCCAGACACTTGTAAGCCTATAATTAGAGTTATGTAAAGCTTTTGATGGGACAGTTAAGTAAAGGAGAAGTGTTGATAACAGCTGGGCAGAGGGGGTCCAATTAGATTTGTTTTGTCATGGGGCCCAAATTTCCTGGCGGCCCCCCTGCACACAATGATCAGTTAACATGGCCTTATCTGGGACTTGGTATTTGCCCTCTGCTACCATCAGAAAATAGTTACAGACCCCAGTAATGGCTGTGACTGAAATTCAGCCCGGGACTTTGAGACAGAGAAGCCTTTTATGTGAGTGGTGCAGAGAAAGATTTTTTGCAGTTATTTTAATACATATAGTGTTATTTACAGTGAATCAGATTATGCTGAAGACTTTCAAGAAACTTTAGGATGACACAGGTCTGAGTAGGCCTATCCCTGGCTCAGCTTCCCCTGTGCTGGACCCCCTGCTTGTATTGATTGTACTGCTACATATGCATGAGAAGAACATCAGTAATAAATTTGACTAACAATAATCCATTTTCTAATTCTATTTATGCATAATTTGATTACCTAACCAGCCCTGCACAATAAAAATAATCTCAGTTCATCTAAACACCCATGTTACCCAGAAAATCAAAGGAAGCTTTTTTTACATTTATTTTGCAGGCTGTCTTCAAGAACCCCTTTAGCTGCTTCTTAAAACCAGTGGTATCAAGGCCTAAACCTCTGTACCTTTGCTGTACTTTGGGAGAAGCCAGGAATAAATACTTGCTCATGGTGATAATTTCAAATAATATTAAAAAGAGTTCTTCTGGACCTGCTCTGTATGAAAAGTGCAATGAGATAACTTCTGTTATGAATTGGTGCTATATAAATAACTGGCACCATGATAATCATACAATAAGAAGAGGAATGCACACAGAAAAAAATTGGCAAATATCTAATAATATATATATATATGAAGCCTAAGCCCAGGTGAGTAACTATGTATAGCACTTTAAATTGTGACAAAGTACACAACGCCAGACCCAATAATGGTTAAATAGAGGCTTGGTTTAATTTATTGTTAGTTTAATTTAGTTTGTCTCATCTTATCATAACTAATCTTGTAATTTTTTTGTTTAGTTGATGTAAATCAATTCCACGCATCATATTGTGCTCAGTTTAAATTAAAACATTGTTTTAACACAGTCTATCACGAATTAGCAAAGGAAACCGGGAGGCAGCTGAATGGATCAACATGCTCATTAGCTGTCAGAGTTTTGCATCCCCTTGGAAGCAATTAGAAACTGCTACATAATGAGAATGAGACCATACCTGACATTTGAACATTAGCCTACCTGGAGAAAATGTGACCTTGGTGTAACTGTGATGAAATGAGTTTAACCACAGTTTGTT